GGAACTTCCTTCCCTTATTGTAGTGCAGGAAGTATCCGAAGAGGAAGCCAATCAGCCAGGGAGTTGCATGGTTATGTGTTGCAAAGTACATATCATTGTTGGCATCATCAGAATATTGCCTAAGTAAAAAGGTTTCGTTACAAAAGATTCGCAAAAGTTTGTAGTTTCACATACTTCAAAATCAGTGAGTAGCCGTTGACCATTATGGTGGTAAAAAGACAGACAGATAGTAAAAGAATGAGAACAAAGATGCCAGCAGCAGCTTTCTTTCCCCATTTGTAGAGGGAGAATAGCAGGATCGGAGACAGAATGAACATCTGCATATCCAAGGACAGATACCAAGATTGTCCAATGCACTAAAATCAAAAGATTAATTATTGATATATATTAAAGATTGATATTGACTTTGACCTACCGTATTGGTTGTATAGTTGTGTGAAAGCAATTGGTTTATAAGTAAAAGTAACTATTAAATAGTATTTTTTCAGTTACTTGTCCATCATTCGCAAAGGAACCATAGCCACCAATAATCCACCAATCACAAAGAACGAATCCACTGAGTAGAATCCATGCAAAATAAAACTGGCATAGGGTGTCTCTGCCCACTAAAATAAAATAGTTAAAAAACACTTTTCTTACAAAGTATTAAGTATTTAACTCACCGAAACGAAACGGAAAATATTTATGTCCGCAGAAAAGAAAGTCACCGTGTATTGATGGCTAAACATCACCCACATTAGGGAAAGGCACCGAATACCATTAAGACAGTCGATAACATTCGGATTCGAATTGACAGCTACAATTCGAAATAGAGCTCTAGAATTTGCCCTTGCAGAAAATACCTTTACGATTGTGGGAAGATGATCTAAAGCAGAGGATTCATTGAGAATACAGATGTGGATCGATAATTTTATGTTAACTCACCCTGATTCTTAACCAGACAGTAGTCCCACAAGGTAAACAAAGCTACCAGGCAGCTCATCACCGATAACATCACTCTATAATCAAAGGCGTTAGTCGGAAAAAGATTTAGACGTCTGCGCTCTTACATAATAAAAATGGTGAGTCCATCCCAGGGTTCACTTTCGCTGGTCTGGCAACTGCTTTCGCTGATACTCATGACCGAGCTGGGAAAAGTGGTATTCAGGAACTGCTTCACTAGTTGGCTCATAAACGCGTTCATGTGACTCGCCGAACAGGAGGCCGGAAAACAGGTGGCGGTCTTGAAATTTCCCACCCTCCTGGTCTGGACTCCCAGCGCTGCCGCCGCCGACACTGAGAGAAAGCAGTACTTCCCCTGAATGGTTCTGCCCTGGCTGGTGTCCTTTTTGATGGCGAGACACTTGCGAACTGACCCAGATCGTACGTGTTGCCAGTGAGCAGGCCAGAAGGTATGGAGCCCCAGGCATCGAGCACTGACGCAAAATTGATAACATGGTCATAAAAAAAGTACTTGCCTTGGTTCAAAGATCACTTACTCTTCAGTGCCCAGTATTGACCACTTAGCAGACCAGTCATAAATGCGGCCAAATCACTGAGACACAGCAGATCCTCCTGACTTGGCACTCGGGAATCGAGCAGGTTTAAGTCTTCGGGTTTTACATCCTGAACGCGTCCTGCAAACTCAAATGCCAAGGATCTGAGTTGACTTAGTTGTTGGAAGTCCGGCAGGACATCGCCTTCTTTTGGTTGCGAGGCACTAATGAGCACGAGCCCACAGAGGAAAATCACTCCGAGTATTTTGGCCATTATGGCTTAACTATTATTTATGACTTCTCATCGAATTCGGGAAGCCTTTTATATGCGAATGATACACCGATAAGCAATGTCTACGACAACAAATCGTGATAAGTCGTATGATAGACGATTCCCTCGAACACGACAGTTGAGCTAATCTTTAAAATTCTCAGTATGAAACTGTTAATCAAAATATCAGGAGTACTAATAGATACTTAATCAGATGAAGATTAAGAATAGGTGAAATATGCATATTGTACCAGAAAGAATCTATTACTTTTAATGTTTTTATAATTTAGAAATATTATCAATACAGGGTGCGCCATCTCGAGCTTCGGTATGAAAAAATTGAATAACTTTGGAAAAAAACAAAAATTCATGGAAAATGTTTTATGTTTATTTAGATTGATCCTTTACAATTCATTTGAGTTAGTTTTTGAAGGGTCTAGAAAATTTCTGGTTACAGCAGGACGGGGCCCCATGTCACACAGCAAACGAAACCATGCAGTTTTTGCAGCAAAATTCCTGGATGCGTTGTGTCAAAAAGAGGCGATATCGACTGGCCGGACTTGACCCCGCCGGATTTCTTTTTGTGGGGTATACATAATCAAGCCCTAGACCATCACAGAGCTCAAGGAGAGTATTCGCACCGAAATGGCCAATATAGTGGCCGATTGCTCAAGCAAGTAATGGAAGATGCTCGAAAAAGGACACTTTTTGCCATCAAGAACAAAGGAAGTCACTTAGTCGATATTGTGTTCAAAAACTAACTCAAATGAATTGTAAAGGATCAATCTAAATAAATGTAAAACATTTTCCATGAATTTTTGTTTTTTTCCAAAGTTATTTAATATTTTCATACCGAAGCTCGAGATGGCGCACCCTGTACGTGACTTGAGAATGTCTTATTTATAGTTATAAATCGTTTTATATCAATGGGCCACGTTTTCTTAAAGCCCCCAAAGTAAAATGGTATATGGTAAAAAAATTTCTCGTATCAGGAAACAAGTTAATTGATTTTAGTTTTATTAACGTCAAACTAAATTAATTATCTTATCAGCTTTTGTTTGAGTATTTGATTCAGTTCAGAAACTGAGGGCTCTGTTTGCTTAATCGGCTCAACATCATCAATTGGATTCTCCGGTAAATGTTCGTTGTTGGTACAACCTCGCCAGGCTTATCCAGTCCAACAATGGGAGCCTCTATTAATAGGTACAACAAATAGGAAAACAAGACTGTAAACCCAAGAGTCGACCAGAAATCCAGCATCTGAAACAAATGATATTTATGCGATACAAATAAAATGATTCACTTCAAACAACACATCGCTTGATAGTCCGAGAAGTACGTATTTGTCCTTCTGATCCTTAGATTTATCTCCAAACAAAAAAGGAAGCTTATATACCCGTACAATCATCAAATATGCAAATACATAAAGGCTAAACAACATCAGCTATGACGATTTTTCTATTCATTTTCCATATTTTCGACTATTGTTCATATCGCAGCTAAATAATACCTATAGATGTCAGATTTTAATAAAATTTAATTCGTAATTCAAAAGTCGTTAGAAAACTCTATATTCCTAAAATCATACTTGTCTGATGAAAAACAACGATGTTATCATTTTATTTCCGTTATTTCTATATAGATTTTAGGATCTTTCCTATGGCAGCTATATGATAACGGTGTCGGATCTTAATGACATTTTTATTTCGATTCAAGGGTTATTAAAAAACTCTATACGACGTTATAAATTGTTTCCATTATTTATATATATATTTTTTCGATCTTTCCTATGGCAGCTATATGGTAGAGTTATCCGATTTTTATAAAATTTAAGGGGCACAACTAGTGTGACGGCCTAAAAAAATGGTGATTTTTGGGAATTTTTTTAAAAAAACTACTTGATCCATTCTTTTCAAATTTTCAGAATATATTTATACATGTTTGAAGAATATACAGTAAAATTTTTAAAGAAAAAAATTAAATATTTTTTAAGCTAGAGCCGATCTCCAACGGCGCTAAAAAAAAAAGTGCCCCAACTGCTGCAGTGATTCCGGCCATCTCCGTGGATGAAATCAAAAAATGAAAAATTCTCGTTAAACTAGATGATATTGTCCATACAATGACCTACGATAAAAGAAAAATATCAAAAATTGACAAAATGGCGGCGTTTAAAAAAAAAAAATCGAATTTTACCCAAAATTTGGGTCGTTTTTGGCCTGCCAAAATTCGATTTTTGATAGGATCAGAAAACCGATAGGTCATTGTAGGGAGGACTATATATAGAACATCTAAAAAAAATTTGATAGTGATCGGATCATTAGTTTTTGAGTTATCACTGCAGCAAATTCGGAAAATGCAGTTTCGAGAAAAACGCGTTTAAAGATAAAATGATCGTATTCACTGCTATACGAGCGGCTGCTCTTAAAATTTATATAACTCAAAAACTATTTAAGATATCGATTTGAAATTTTAATATGTTATTTTTAAAGGTTTAATCTACCGAAATATGAAAGAAAAAAAAAAAATTTTTTTGAAATGTCACACTAGTTGTGCCCCTTAATCCGAAATTTAATAGTAGTTAAAAAACGCCATCTGGAAAGAAGTCGATCTCATTAAAAATAACGGAGTAATAATTTTTTATTTCAGTCTCTCGTATGGGAGCTGTCCGATATAGTCTGCGGATCCGGCCCGTTTCGACTTATATATTGCGTGTAATAACTACACAACTCTTGGGAAAGTTTCAGCCAGAAAGCTTTAAAACTGAGAGACTAGTTTACATAGAAACAGACAGGACGACAGACGGACAGACGTACAGATGTATTTCGATTCGTGATGCTGATCAAGAATATATAATATATACTTTATGGGGTTTGAGGTGTCTCCTTCACTGCGTTGCAAACTTCTGACTGAAATTTTAATACCCTTTGCTCTGCAAGGGAATAAAAATGGCCATTGGCAACCAACTCGTGTAAGGGTGTAGTGGAATGACAGCTCTAAAGTGCTCATTAACCATGGAGTTCCTGCATCGAGGATCGGAAACACGGTGAAGTAAAGAGCATCGCCAGGCAGAGAATCCATCCAGACCAAATGGACGCCCAACACAACTGGAACTCAGTCTGGAATCAGGAAAGAAGAACCCCCTTTCATTTACTAAAGCCAACTTGAATTTGAGCCAAAATTATTTAAATTTATTTTCCCACATTTAAAGTATAAATTACTAAAACTAATAAGATTTCGCACATTTCTTATACCTTCTATGCAGCAGAAGTTGGAGTCGATATTTTAGTTTCTTCTAGATTACTAGGTCCGTTGTCTACTTGGGATTCTTGTTTGATAAAGGCAGGGCTCTTGGGTTTCGGTCGCAAGAAGAGATCCAGTCCACCGAAAGGTGCCTCAATGAGGATGTGCATTACGTAAGCCATCAAGCATGTGAATCCCATGGTTGACCAGAAGTTGCACATCTATAATAAATAGAGTTAATATTAAAAATTGAACTGCAAACTTCTAGATGCTTTTTGAAACCTACAATTGTGTAGTCCGAGAAGTAACCACTCGTCCTGCCATTTCTGGCGTTCATCTCCTGAATGAACATGTGAAAGAGGAAAATGGAGTAGGAGAGCCTGGAGAGGGGCTGCCAAAGCGGGGAGGAGAGGAAGCTGTTGGCCAGTCCTCCGTATCCCTGCATGCAGGCGAAGACCACCCAGCAAATGGCCATCGACCAGCCCAATCTGGTGAGGGTGTAGTAAGAGGCCTCCCCGAAGGTCGACAAAGGAACGGCACTCCACTTGGCATACGGGTACATGGCGAAGATCGAGGTGAAGATCATGGCCAGGCAGAGGATCCATCCCGCCCACACGGCCATCCAACTTAGCTGGAACTTCCTTCCCTTATTGTAGTGCAGGAAGTATCCGAAGAGGAAGCCAATCAGCCAGGGAGTTGCATGGTTATGGGTCGCAAAGTACATATCTTTGTAAGCATCAGTAGTGAATTGCCTGAATAAAAAGGGTTTGTTAGGAAAGATTCACATAAGTGTGAAGTTTCACATACTTCAAAATCAGTGAGTAGCCGTTGACCATTATGGTGGTAAACAGACAGACAGATAGTAAAAGAATGAGAACAAAGATGCCAGCAGCAGCTTTCTTTCCCCATTTATAAAGGGAGAACAAAAGGATCGGAGACAGGATGAAAAGTTGCATATCCAAGGACAGATACCAAGATTGTCCAATACACTGAATTTAAAAGAGATATTATTTATAATTGTTTAAGACTAATAATATGGTGGACTTACCATGTCGGTTGTATAGTTGTTCACGAAGAGCAAAGTCCAATACCAACCATTTTCACAGTCCGTCTTTCCTTTTAATCCACTAGCAAAAATTGGTCCGCCTGATATGAGGGTCATGAGTTTCATGTGGACAACGATAGCAAAGGCCAAAAGTGGAACAATTCTAATTAATCGATGTAGGTACATAAGTGGTACGTTCAGTTTGCCCTTGGTTCTGTGAAAGAAATTGGTTTATAAGTAAAAGTAACTATTAAATAGTATTTATCAATTACTTGTCCATCATTTGCAAGGGAATCATAGCCACCAGTAATCCACCAATCACAAAGAACGAATCCACTGAGTAAAATCCATGCAAAATAAAACTGGCAAAGGGTGTCTCTGCCCACTAAAATAAAATAATTAATAAACACTTTTCTTACAAAGTATTAAGTATTTAACTCACCGAAATGAAACGGATAATATTTATGCCTGCAGAAAATAAAGTCATGATGTATTGATGACTGAACATCACCCACATTAGGGAAAGGCACCGAATACCATTAAGACAGTCGATAACATTCGGATTCGAATTGACTGCTACAATGCGAAATAGAGCTCTAGAATTTGCCCTCGCGGAAAATACCTTTACGATTATGGGGAGATGATCTAAAGCAGAAGATTCATTGTGAATACAGATGTGGATAAATAATTTTATGTTAACGCACCCTGATTCTTGACCAGACAGTAGTCCCACAAGGTAAACAAAGCTACCAGGCAGCCCATCACCGATAACATCACTCTATAATCAAAGGCGTTAGTCGGGAAAAGATTAAGACGTCTGCAAACTTACATCATAAAAATGGTGAGTCCATCCCAGGGTTCACTTTCGCTGGTCTGGCAACTGCTTTCACTGATACTCATGACCGAGCTGGGGAAAGTGGTATTCAGGAACTGCTTCACCAGTTGGCCCATAAACGCGTTCATGTGACTCGCCGAACAGGAGGCCGGAAAACAGGTGGCGGTCTTGAAACTTCCCACTGAGAGAAAACAGTACTTCCCCTGAATGGTTCTGTCCAGGTTGGTGTCCTTTTTGATGGCGAGACACTCGTCGAACTGACCCAGATCGTACATGTTGCCAGTGAGCAGGCCAGAAGGTATGGAATCCCAGGCATCGAGCACTGACGCAAAATTGATAACATGGTCATAAAAAAAGTACTCGCCTCGGTTCAAAGATCACTTACTTTTCAGAGCCCAGTATTGACCACTTAGCAGACCAGTCATAAACGCAGCCAAATCACTGAGACACAGCAGATCCTCCTGACTTGCCGCTCGGGAATCGAGCAGGTTTAAGTCTTCGGGCTTTACATCCTGAACGCGTCCTGCAAACTCAAATACCAAGGATCTGAGTTGGCTGATTCTCTGGAACTCCGGAAGGACATCGCCTTCTTTTAATTCTTTTAATTCTTTTAATTCTTTTAATTCTTTTAACTGTGAGGCACTAATGAGCACGAGCCCACAGAGGAAAATCACTCCGACTATTTTGGCCATTGTGGCTTGACTGGTAATAATGATTTCTCATCGAATTCGGCAAGCCTTTTATATCCGAATAAAACTCCGATAAGCAATGTCTACGGCAACAAAAAATGATTAGTCATATAATGGCCGATTCCATTGAACACGACAGATAAGCTAAGCTTTAAAATTCTCAGTATGAAACTGTTAATCAAAATATCAGCAGTAATAATAGTTATGAAGATTAAGAAAATGGTGAATTATGCATACTGTACCAGCAGGAGCTTTAATGTTTTAAAATTTTGAGATATTATCACAAGTTAATTTTACAATGCCGTATTTATAGTTATAAATCGATTTGTATCAATGGGCAATGCCTTCTTAAAGTCCTCAGAGTGAAAAGTTTTATGGTAATAAATTGTCTTGTATCAGGAAACAAGTATGCTTCTGGTTTTATTAACGTACAACAAATTTAATTATCTAATCAGCTGGTGTTTGAAGATTTGATTGAGTTTCCTCAGTTTCTTTTTGCTTAATCAGGTCATCATCATCAATCGGATTCTCCGGCAACTGTTCTGGGTTCATAGTTTGTACAACCTCGACAGGCTTATTCTTTTGAGGCCGTACAAGAAAGTCCAGTCCACCAATTGGAGCCTCGATTAATAGGTACAGTAAATACGAGAATAGAACTGTAAATCCAAGACTGGACCAGAAATCCAGCATCTAAAAAAATTGTTTTTAAGCGATACAAATAAACTCTTTCAATTCAAGTAATATACCACTTGGTAGTCCGAGAAGTAAGTATTTGTCCTTCTGATCCTTTGGTTTATCTCCTGTATGAAACTGTGCCACATGTACACCGAATACGAGAGTTTGGAGAGGGGTTGCCACAGCGGAGAGGAGAGGAAGCTGTTGGCCAATCCCCCATATCCTTGCATACAGGCGAAGACCACCCAACCAATGGCCATTGGCCAACCAACTCGTGTAAGGGTGTAGTAGAAAGACAACTCTAAAGTGGTCATCAACCATGGAGTTCCTGCATCGCGGATCGGATAAAGAGCGAAGATCGAAGTGAAAAGCATGGCCAGGCAAAGAATCCAGCCAGACCAAACCGCAACCCAACTCAACTGGAACTTCTTGCCCTTAGTCACGTACAAGAAGTATCCGAACAAAAATCCAATAAGCCAAGGAGCTGCGTGGGTGTGGGTATAGAAGTACATCTGCTTTTGCAACGAGAGATCCAAGCTGTGGAATAAATAGTTAATACAATTACGTTAATTCTGTCAACTAAAACACTTACTTTGTTATTGAGTAGTTGTTGACCATCATGGTGGCAAAAAGGCAACCAGACAGCAACACCATGAGGACAAATATTCCAGCGGCAGCTTTTTTGCCCCATTTATAAAGAGCAAACAAAAGGATCGGAGAGATTAGGAACAACTGCATATCCACAGCCAAATACCAGGTATGATCAAGGCACTATAATAAAAACTTGTTTTATATATTTTACTATATACTTGCTACCAGAATGAAGTTACCATATCGTTTGCATAGTTAACTACAAAAAGCAAGGTTAAGTACCAGCTTTTTTCACATGACGCCTTGCCATTGTAACCTCCCTTAAAAAGTGGTCCATCGCCCAAAACTCCAATGAGTTGATTGTAAACTAGTAAAGCCATGGCCAAAATAGGAACAATTCTGATCAAACGATGAAGGTACATCAGTGGCACATTCAGTTTGCCCTTGTTTCTGCAAAACAAAACAAAGTAATGAGAATATTGTTTTCCTTTTAAAATGATTAACTAACCTCTCCATCGATCGCAATGATATCAAAGCCACCAGCAAACCGCCGATAAAGAAAAATGAGTCAACCGAAAAAGTCCCGTGTAAAAAGAAACCCGTAAAAGGCTTTTGTAACCACTAGAAACAGAAATCTTGTTAAGCGTTTTATAAAAAAGGTTGTTATAAGTTACTTACTGAGATAATACTAAAACGATTAATGTTTGGTGAATGAAATAAGCTGGCATATTGATGCAAGAAAACCACCCAAACAAGAGACATACAGCGAATTCCGTGAAGGCATTCAATTACATTCGGATTTGACTTAATCTCGACGTGGAAAAGAGCACGGGAGTTCGCCCTGGCAGAAAACAGTTTGACAACCGGAGAAATCTCTTCTGCAAGATAAAAAGATTAGAAACTAATAAATAAGACCAATTAATAAAATTTTGTCTCACCTTGATTCTTAACCAAAAAGCAGTCGTACAGTGTAAAAACAGCTACAACGAAGCCCATCACAGATAAGATCACTCTGTAATCAGAAATGATTAGTACGGAACTAAAATGTAAATAAACAATCACCTACACTGTCAAAATAGTGAGTCCACTCCAGGGTTCGCTTTCATTTGTCTGGCAAGTGTCCTCATTGATACTCATTGCTGTGCTGGGTAAACTTACGTTAAGTATTCTCTGGAAAATCTGCTCCACAAACTTGTTCATAAGAGTTGCTGAACAGGAGGCAGGAAAACAAGCTGCTATTTTCATTTTTAATATTCCAGCTAAGGAATTCTCAATGCCAAGAGCTTTGCTAGGGGAAACTTCCAAGAAGCAGTATTTTCCGCGAATGGTGTCCTTCTTTATATTGATGCACTCGTCGAAGTTTCCCAAGTCATATACGTTGCCCGTAAAAATTCCAGAGGGAATAGTTCCCCACGAATCAATCACTGTCAATATAAAGAGCACGAAATAGTTATTCAAAATCTAATTGATTTAATAGCCAACTTACTTTTCAATGCCCAATATTGGCCAGAGGTAAAGGCCAACATAAACTGGGCCATATCACTTAGGCACTGGAGATCATCAGCAGTTGGCAATAAGGAGTCGGAAAGGCTTAGTTCATCCAGCGAGACATTTTTAAAGTAATCGGCGAACTCAATACCCAGTGGCTTTAGTTCTTTTAAACGCTGAAACTCCTGAAGGACACTTGTGTCCTTGGGCTCCAAAGCGGTGATCAGAGCGAGCCCACTCAGTAAAATAATACTTCCTATGTTGACCATGCTAACCCAAATGGTATTAACTGGTTCTATAACAATCTAAAGAGCTTATATAGCAGTAAAAGGCTTCCACTGCGATAGTAAGCGACGTGGGGCATTTAAATCGAGTCCCGACTGTAATATACCAGGTAATGAATAATAAATAATGAATAAATAAATTAAAATAAAGTGTTGCTGACACATCATGATGTATAAATTGACAAATTATCACATTGTTGACTTAAAACTGTAGCCCAATAAGTGCCAAATTATTGGTAACAACAATCGTTTTTTTTTTTCCGGATAATAAAAAGTCGACTCCAGTAATCTACGAATACTGGGTATAACAACCTTGTCAGCTTTAATCTATTCATAAAAGGCTCAATTCTGGCGAAGAGACTATCAGTTCAAGTGTAATAGAACTTGACCACCCCATGGTTAAAATAGATTTTTTTCGAATGAATTCGAGATTGGCTATCATTTCCTATAATTTAGATGCCAGGTGGTTTACTGGTTCGAAGCGTAATTAACATTTCCTTTTCATATTTTACTGAACATTTTTCTAAATGGAACTTTTTGTCACGGTTTTATTGTTTAAGAGGGCTTTTAACATTTAGTAGTTCAGTACTACTGTCTGTCACATTCTGGAAGACCTCTCATATTATTACAGATTAAAGTGCACATTTTAATGCTTTTAAACAAAAAATTTTTTTCTGTAAAAACCGAAATCACTTTGGCAATATTTTTTGGGTTTGATTGGCAACCTCTGCTTTATTATTTTTTACAAATGGCCTTTACAATGTAATCTGGGGATAAGAAGCGATAAGCTTGTAGTTTAGCTAGACTCCTGATTGTACAAAATAAAAGTTGATAACAATCGATTACGAATTTCAAGCGTGCCGACTTCCCCGATAGTGAGCAATCTAGACTAGACTTCTGGGTATCAGGAGAAATTTCCCCTACAACGTGTTTTTTATTCGTTATCAGATTGAGGTAATCGGTAATTTGATCGGTAATCTAAAAAAATGATATTGAACTTCGGCGGAACGGGTAATGACCCACACCAACATAAATAGACCGAAAATGTTTACGGAAATAAATAACAGAAATAAGATAACATATTTAGAAAGAGATTTGCTTTTAGATTTTTTATTGTCAGATATATTTATTTAGCAGCATCAGAAACACTTCAAGGATTCGTTTCAGTTTCAGTACAGTCTGTTTCACTAGAGATCCGCACATCTTTCTGTTCGTGAATTAGCTTCGGTTGATCAATAGCCGGAGGATTCTTTCGAGGCCGTAAAACGTTTTCAAATCCGCATAGAGGAGCCTCAATGATGAGGTACAAGAGATAGGACATCAGTAGAGTGAAGCCAAAATCAAACCAAAATCGTTCCATCTGCAAAACAATTGCAAAGTAGTTAATAATGTTAATGATATTAATAGTACACGTTTCTAGTAACGCACCACAGAATAGTTGGAGAAATACGTATTCGTTCTGACACTTCTCATGTTTATCTCCTGGACAAACATATGCCAAATATAAACGGAGTAGGAGAGCCTTGAAAGAGGTTGCCATAAAGGTGTAGAAAGAAAACTGTTGGCCAGGCTACCGTAACCCTGCATACACGCAAAAATAATCCAGCAAATGGCCAATGGCCATCCAATTCGAGTAAGAGTATAATATAGAGATTCCTTTAGGATTGATAAAGGCGGATAAAGCGCAAAGATCGAAGTAAACAACATCGCCAGGCTGAGGATCCAACCCGTCCATACAACAAGCCAGCTCAACTGAAACTTTTTACCGCGATTCAGATGAAGAAAGTAGCCAAATAAAAATCCAATTAACCAAGGAGCAGCGTGAGTATGCGTGGCAAGGTATAACTTCTTGTTGGGCACCCCGTCATCCTCAGCGCCATTTCTGTAAGCAGTATATTAATGTAAGTATATATCAATATTCAAGAAAAGTAAATCAACCTTACTGAATAAGCAAAGAGTACTGGTTGACCATTTGGGTGGCAAACAGACAACCCGAGAGCAAAACCACCAATACAGCAATCCCGGAAGCCGCTTTTTTGTCCCATTTGTAGAGAGCTATTAAAAGAATCGGGGAAAGTATATACAACTGCATGTCCACTGCCAAATACCACGTGTGATCGAGACACTGAAATAGATAGAATGATTCACAGTAGATTACAAATAAAGCCCCTTAAACATCAAGTACTCTTTTACAGGTGTTTTTATGATAATGTTGATTATCGGTGACCATGACGTATTTGATTACAAATCGAACACGTTTTACTACTCACAACGTTTAGTACTGCATAGTTCTGGACAAAAAGCAGAGTCCAAAACCATCCCTTCTCACAATATTTCTTGCCATGATAACCGCTTTTTAACATTGGACCACTGCTAATAACTGTCATCATTGTCATGTAGACAAGTATTGCGATGACCACGACGGGCAAAATGCGAATAATCCGATGCAGATACATTAAAAGAGGGTTTAGTTTTCCACCAGATCTGTAAAGAAATGAAGTATTAGATAAACTTTTCGAGTAGTTAATTGTATTCTTACTTCTCCATAGAACGTAAAGCCACCATGCAGACTAGCATTCCACCAAGAACGAAAAAAGAGTCCACTGAGAAGTATCCATGGAGTACAAAACTGGCAAAGGGTGTAATGGCCCACTACAATATCAGCAAGATTAAGAGCAAATATAATATATTTTAACTATAAGTTACTCTAACCGAAAACATTTCATTTGAATTTAGGCTAGGAGAATTTAAAAAGAATATAAGCTCGTGGCAGTAAATAACCCAAATGAGTGACATGCAACGAATTCCATGAAGGCAATCAATCACATTTGGATTTGATTTACTAGGTACGATTCGAAAAAGACTCCGAGAGTTTGCTCGAGCTGAAAAAGCCTTCACCAGAGCTGGCATCCGATCTGAAAAGTATCTTATATAATATAGTAAAAAACAATATCTTAAAAATCCATCTCACTTTGATCCCTGCACAGAAAGTAGTCATAAAATGTAAACAAAGTTACAAGGGCAGCCATTACAGAAAGAATGGCTCTAAAATAATAACAATAAAAATTAAAATCATATAAAATAATATGATAAAATAATAAATTACATGGTGACAATAGTCAGTGTATCCCAAGGTGGACTTTCACTCGTTTGACAACTTTCTTCACTGATCTTCATACTTATGCTAGAGCTGAAAACATTAGATATTTTCTTTGCCAGATGTTGCACAATGGGATCTATTTGAGTTGCAGTGCATGAAGATGGAAAACAGGTTGCGATTTTTAATTTGTTGGCGATTAGAAAACAGTATTTTCCACTTATTTTCTGACTACTGGAGATCTTTTGGTTAACTGATAGGCATTCATCAAAGTTTCCAAGATCGAAAGTATTTCCAGTTAGCAGGCCAGAAGGAATAGAGCCCCATGAGTCAACCACTGGTTAATAAAGAAAGTAGATACCTTAGTTTCCAGACCTAAAATTACTGATGGTGACTCACTCTTTTGTGCCCATATTTGACTAAAGGAAAGTCCCCTTAATAGAGCTGCCAAGTCTTGTTTACATTCGAGATCCTTTGGATTGGCTGATAAGCCAAAACTCTCAAGAGTTACATTTCGGAATAATTCCGAAAAGTCCAAGGGCAACTGTTTTGAAAGTTTATTATTCTGTACATCAGGATCCGCCGAATCCGAGGCACTATTATTGACCAGTCCACAGAACAGTAAAACGTAAATTACGTTTATCATTCTAATTCGTTTTCGACTGAGAGCTTTCAGACAGTAGACTCTGATTTTATATGGCAATGCTATTAATCGATAAGCGTTATCTTAAATATGACAACCGATTAGCAAATACCTGTCCTGGGGCAACAGCTGAATTATCGAATAAAGATGTTCACATAAAAAGCACCGATAACAAATGAAATCCTCTTCAAGACAAACGATAATCTTGGTCACTTTGACACATTATGATTGAACGCTGATACATATTATAATTATAAATTTTTTCAAAAAGCGAGGTTCCAAGTATCCTCATTGATACTCATTCCTGTCCTGGTAACTTACATTAAGTATTCTCTGGAAAATCTGCTCCGCAAACTTGTTCATAAGAGTTGCTGAACAGGAAGCAGGAAAACCAGTGGCTATTTTCATTTTTAATATTCCAGTTAAGGAATTCTCAATTCCTAGAGCTTTGCTGGGGAAAGAGTTGAAGAGAGCTAATAACATTCAGAATACTATATTATCATATTCTGGCAGATCGCGAGCTTTATTTCAGATCTTTTGGATTTGTTTTCAGAGGCTTAATGTTTTTTTTTTTTTAATTTTTTTCTGAAAAAAAAAACCGGGAACCACATTGGCCAATGTTGTTTGGGTTTGTTTGTCAACCTTTATGTTTTTATTTTTGACAAATCTTGGTATAAGAAGCGATAAGCTTGTGGTTCAGCTAAACTCCTGATCGTACAAAATAAAAGTTGATTACGATCGATTACGAATTTCAAGCGTGCCGACTTCCCCAATAGTAAGCAATCGACGAGACTTCTGGGTATCAGGAGAAATTTCCCCTACAACGTGTTTTTATTCATTATCAGAGTAAGCTTATCGCTTTTATTATAATCTAGAAAAATGATATTGAACTTCGGCGGAACGGGTAATGACCCACACTAACTTAGTTAGACAGAAAATGCTTACGAAAATTCAGGTCACCAGTTAGACAACGTTTTTAACAGGAAATTTGATTTAATATTATTTTTATATGGTAAATTTATTTAGGAGCATCAGAAACGCTCAAAGGTTTCGTTTCAGTTTCAGTACAGTCTGTTACACTAGAGTTCTTAATATCTTTCTGTTCTTGAATAAGCTTTGGTTGATCATCAGCAGAAGGATTCGGTCGAGGTCGCAAAAGGCTGTCAAATCCACAAAGAGGAGCCTCAATAATAAGATACAAGAGGTAGGACATTAATACAGTGAAGCCAAAATCATACCAGAAACGTTCCATCTAAAAATGAGCAGATACAAAATTTATGTTGCATAATGTTGGTTTAAGTTTGGTATTTATATCTTACGGCTGAGTAGTTGGAGAAATACGTGTTCGTCCTGCCACTTCTCATGTTTATCTCCTGGACAAACATATGCCAAATATAAACGGAGTAGGAGGGCCTTGAAAGAGGTTGCCATAAAGGTGTAGAAAGAAAACTGTTGGCCAGGCTACCGTAACCCTGCATACACGCAAAAATAATCCAGCAAATGGCCAATGGCCATCCAATTCGAGTAAGAGTATAATATAGAGATTCCTTTAGGATTGATAAAGGCGGATAAAGCGCAAAGATCGAAGTAAACAACATCGCCAGGCTGAGGATCCAACCCGTCCATACAACAAGCCAGCTCAACTGAAACTTTTTACCGCGATTCAGATGAAGAAAGTAGCCAAATAAAAATCCAATTAACCAAGGAGCAGCGTGAGTATGCGTGGCAAGGTATAACTTCTTGTTGGGCACCCCGTCATCCTCAGCGCCATTTCTGTAAGCAGTATATTAATGTAAGTATATATCAATATTCAAGAAAAGTAAATCAACCTTACTGAATAAGCAAAGAGTACTGGTTGACCATTTGGGTGGCAAACAGACAACCCGAGAGCAAAACCACCAATACAGCAATCCCGGAAGCCGCTTTTTTGTCCCATTTGTAGAGAGCTATTAAAAGAATCGGGGAAAGTATATACAACTGCATGTCCACTGCCAAATACCACGTGTGATCGAGACACTGAAATAGATAGAATGATTCACAGTAGATTACAAATAAAGCCCCTTAAACATCAAGTACTCTTTTACAGGTGTTTTTATGATAATGTTGATTATCGGTGACCATGACGTATTTGATTACAAATCGAACACGTTTTACTACTCACAACGTTTAGTACTGCATAGTTCTGGACAAAAAGCAGAGTCCAAAACCATCCCTTCTCACAATATTTCTTGCCATGATAACCGCTTTTTAACATTGGACCACTGCTAATAACTGTCATCATTGTCATGTAGACAAGTATTGCGATGACCACGACGGGCAAAATGCGAATAATCCGATGCAGATACATTAAAAGAGGGTTTAGTTTTCCACCAGATCTGTAAAGAAATGAAGTATTAGATAAACTTTTCGAGTAGTTAATTGTATTCTTACTTCTCCATAGAACGTAAAGCCACCATGCAGACTAGCATTCCACCAAGAACGAAAAAAGAGTCCACTGAGAAGTATCCATGGAGCACAAAACTGGCAAAGGGTGTAACAGCCCACTACAATATTAGGAAGGTTAAGAGAAAATCTAATATATTTTAACTCTAAGTCACTCTAACCGAAAACATTTCATTTGAATTTAGGCTGGGAGAATTTAAAAAGAATATAAGCTCGTGGCAGTAAATAACCCAAATGAGTGACATGCAACGAATTCCATGAAGGCAATCAATCACATTTGGATTTGATTTACTAGGTACGATTCGAAAAAGACTCCGAGAGTTTGCTCGAGCTGAAAAAGCCTTCACCAGAGCTGGCATCCGATCTGAAAAGTATCTTATATAATAAAGTGAAAAACAATATCTTAAAAATCCATCTCACTTTGATCCCTGCACAGAAAGTAGTCATAAAATGTAAACAAAGTTACAAGGGCAGCCATTACAGAAAGAATGGCTCTGAAATAATAACAATAAAAATTAAAATCATATAAAATAATATGATAAAATAATAAATTACATGGTGACAATAGTCAGTGTATCCCAAGGTGGACTTTCACTCGTTTGACAACTTTCTTCACTGATCTTCATACTTATGCTAGAGCTGAAAACATTAGATATTTTCTTTGCCAGATGTTGCACAATGGGATCTATTTGAGTTGCAGTGCATGAAGATGGAAAACAGGTTGCGATTTTTAATTTGTTGGCGATTAGAAAACAGTATTTTCCACTTATTTTCTGACTACTGGAGATCACTTGGTTAATTGACAAGCATTCATCGAAGTTCCCAAGATCATATGTATTTCCGGTCAGCAGACCAGAAGGAATGGAGCCCCACGAGTCAATCACTGGTTGATAAAGAAAGAAGGGTACTTCAATCATAGGCATTTAATAACTAAGCTTAACTTACATTTTTCTGCCCATATTTTGTTTGTGGAAAGTCCATTTATTAGAGCTGCAATGTCTTGTTGACATTCGAGATCCTTTTGATCGGCTGATAAGCTAAAGCTCTTTAGAGTTACATTTTGAAATAATTCCAAAAATTCTAAGGGCAACTGTTTTAGAAGCTTATTATTCTGTACATCAGAATCCGTCGAATCCGAAGCACTAGGATTGACCAGTCCACAGAAGAGTAAAACGTAAATTACGTTTATCATTCTAATTCGTTTTCGACTGAGGGCTTTCAGACAGTAGACTCTGATTTTATATGGCAATGCTATTAATCGATAAGCGTTATCTTAAAAATGACAACCGATTAGCAAATACCTGTCGTGGGGCAAAAGCTGAATTATCGAATATAGATGTTCACATAAAAAGCACCGATAACGAATGAAATCCTCTTCAAGACAAACGATAATCTTGGTCACTTTGACACATTATGATTGAACGCTGATACATATTATAATTACACATTTTTTCAAAAAGCGAGGTTCCAAGTATCCTCATTGATACTCATTCCTGTGCTGGTAACTTGCATTAAGTATTCTCTGGAAAATCTGCTCCGCAAACTTGTTCATAAGAGTTGCTGAACAGGAAGCAGGAAAACAAGTGGCTATTTTCATTTTTAATATTCCAGTTAAGGAATTCTCAATTCCTAGAGCTTTGCTGGGGAAAGAGTTGAAGAGAGCTAATAACATTCAGAGTACTATATTATCATATTCTGGCAGATCGCGAGATTTAATTCGGATCTTTTGGATTTGTTTTTAGAGGCTTAATGTTTTTTTTTTTAAATCTTTTCTGTAAAAAAAAACCGGGAACCACATTGGCCAATATTGTTTGGGTTTGTTTGTCAACCTTTGTTTTTTTATTTTTGACAAATCTTGGTATAAGAAGCGATAAGCTTGTGGTTCAGCTAAACTCCTGATCGTACAAAATAAAAGTTGATTACGATCGATTACGAATTTCAAGCGTGCCGACTTCCCCAATAGTAAGCAATCGACGAGACTTCTGGGTATCAGGAGAAATTTCCCCTACAACGTGTTTTTATTCATTATCAGAGTAAGCTTATCGCTTTTATTATAATCTAGAAAAATGATATTGAACTTCGGCGGAACGGGTAATGACCCACACTAACTTTGTTAGACAGAAAATGTTTACGAAAATTCAGGTAAGCAGTTAGACAACGTTTTTAACGAGAAATTTGCTTTAGTTTTATTTTTATATGGTAAATTTATTTGGGAGCATCAGAAACACTCAAAGGTTTCGTTTCAGTTTCAGTACAGTCTGTTACACTAGAGTTCGCAACATCTTTCTGTTCTTGAATAAGCTTTGGTTGATCATCAGCAGAAGGATTCGGTCGAGGTCGCAAAAGGCTGTCAAATCCGCATAGAGGAGCCTCAATAATAAGATACAAGAGGTAGGACATCAATACAGTGAAGCCAAAATCATACCAGAAACGTTCCATCTAAAAATGAGCAGATACAAAATTAATGTTGCATAATGTTGGTTTAAGTTTGGTATTTATATCTTACGGCCGAGTAGTTGGAGAAATACGTGTTCGTCCTGCCACTTCTCATGTTTATCTCCTGGACAAACATATGCCAAATATAAACGGAGTAGGAGAGCCTTGAAAGAGGTTGCCATAAGGGAGTAGAAAGGAAACTGTTGGCCAGGCTACCGTAACCCTGCATACAGGCAAAAATCACCCAGCAAATAGCCAATGGCCAACCAATTCGAGTAAGAGTATAATAAAGCGATTCGTCCAAAGTGGACAATGGTGGAGCAGTCCACTTTCCCGCCGGATAGAGAGCAAAGATCGAAGTAAACAACATCGCCAGGCTTAGAATCCAACCTGTCCACACAACAAGCAGGCTTAACTGGAATCTTTTACCGCGATTCAGATGCAGAAAGTAGCCAAATAAAAATCCAATTAACCAAGGAGCAGCGTGAGTATGGGTGGCAAGGTATAATTTTTTGCTGGGCACCCCGTCATCCTCAGCGCTATTTCTATAAACAATAAAGATATGTAAGTATATCTCAAATTAAGTTTAGAAACCTTACTTAATAAGCAGAGAGTAGTGGTTGACCATTTGGGTGGCAAACAGACAACCCGAGAGCAAAACCACCAGCACAGCAATCCCCGAAGCCGCCTTCTTTCCCCATTTGTAGAGAGCTAATAAAAGAATCGGGGAAAGTATATACAACTGCATGTCCACTGCCAAATACCACGTGTGATCGAGACACTGAAAAAGATACAAAGAATGATTCATAGTAAGTAAAAGTAAAAGTAAGTCCCCTAATACATCAAGTAGTCTTTTGCAAGCATTTGTATGATAACGTTCATTATAATCAATTATCTATGACCATGACGAATTTGATTATAAGTCGAACACGTTTTATTACTCACAATATTTAGTACTGCATAGTTCTGGACAAAAAGCAGGGTCCAAAACCATCCTTTCTGACAATATTCTTTGCCATGATAACCGCTTTTTAACATTGGACCACTGCTGATAACTGTCATCATTGTCATGTAGACAAGGATTGCGATGGCCACGACGGGCAAAATTCGAATAATCCGATGCAGATACATTACAAGAGGGTTTAGTTTTCCACCAGATCTATAAAGAGCTTAAGTATTAAATAAACTTTTTAAGTAGTTAATAGTATTCTTACTTCTCCATAGAACGTAAAGCCACCATGCAGACTAGCATTCCACCAAGAACGAAAAAAGAGTCCACTGAGAAGTATCCATGGAGCACAAAACTGGCAAAGGGTGTAATGGCCCACTAAAATATTAGAATATATTATATTAGATCATAAGCAATTATGATATATTTTAATGGTGAGTTAGTCTAACCGAAAAAATTTCAGCCGTGTTCAGGTTGGGTGATTTCACAAAGAATATAAATTCGTGGGAGTATATAACCCAAAAGAGTGACATGCAACGAATTCCATGAAGGCAATCGATCACATTTGGGTTCGATTTGTTTGGCACGATTCGAAAAAGACTCCGAGAGTTTGCTCGAGCTGAAAAAGCCTTCACCAGAGCTGGCATCCGATCTGAAAAGTATCTTATATTGTATCGTCTAGAACAATTGTTAAAGGGATCCAACTTACTTTGATCCCTGCACAGAAAGTAATCATAAAATGTAAACAAAGTAACAAGGACACCCATCACAGAGAGAATGACTCTGAAATTATAACAATAAAAAATTACAATCATAAAAAAAAATAAAACAAAAAACTTACATGGTGACAATAGTCAGTGCATCCCAAGGTGGACTCTCACTCGTTTGACAACTTTCTTCACTGATCTTTAAGCTTATGCTGGAATTATCGGCATTAAATAATTTCTGGATAAGTTGTTGCACAATGGGATCCATTTGAGTTGCAGTGCATGAAGATGGAAAACAGGTTGCGATTTTTAATTTGTTGGCGATTAAAAAACAGTATTTTCCACTTATTTTCTGACTACTGGAGATCACTTGGTTAACTGACAGGCATTCATCGAAGTTTCCAAGATCGAATGTATTTCCGGTTAGCAGGCCAGAAGGAATGGAGCCCCATGAGTCAACCACTGGTTAATAAAGAAAGTAGATACTTTAGTTTCCAGACCTAAAATTACTGAGGATGACTCACTCTTTTGTGCCCACATTTGACTAGAGGAAAGTCCCCTTAATAGAGCTGCCAAGTCTTGTTTACATTCGAAATCCTTTTGATTGGCTGATAAGCCAAAACTCTCAAGAGTTACATTTCGGAATAATTCCGAAAAGTCCAAGGGCAACTGTTTTGAAAGTTTATTATTCTGTACATCAGGATCCGCCGTTTCCGAGGCACTAGTACTGACCAGTCCAAAGACCAGTAAAACACTAATTACGTTTATCATTCTTATTCGAATGCGACTGGGAGCTTTCAGGCAGTAGACTCTGATTTTATATGGCAATGCAATAAATCGATAAGCGCTATCTTCAAACATAACAACCGATTAGCAAATACCTGTCTTAGGGTAACAGGTGTATGGGCGAATAAAGATATTCATACAAAAATCACCGATAACAAATGAAATCCTCTTCAAGACAAACGATAATCTTGGTCACTTTGACACAGAATGATTGAGTGCTGATACATATTATAATTATAGATTTTCTCAAGAAGCGAGCTTTCCAATAAACGAGCCATTTAGCAATATTAATAGTTTTAATATTATCAGTTCAGTTTACAGATAAGTTAAGTCCTTCACTATAATTTAATATCAATCAGTTCAAGCAGTTTGTTTATTTTCGGTTTCATCGGCATTCGACTTCTCTTGCTCGACAACAGAAGTCAAAATTGGTTGTTTGACTGCTGATGGCTTCACATTCCCTCTTGGACGCCAAAGGGCATCCAACCCACCAATTGGTGCCTCAATAATGAGATACAAAACGAAGGACATCACCAGACTGATGCCAAAGTCCGACCAGAAGTTAAGCATCTAAATTGAGTTGGTAGAGAGTTATTAAAATACTTAGAAGGTATAATATGTTGAACTTACCACTCTGTATGATGAGAAGTAAGTGCTGGTCCTCACATTCCTGCTGTTCACCTCCTGGACAAACATGTGCCAGATGAAGACGGAGTAGGAAAGCCTCGAGAGTGGTTGCCACAAAGGCGAGGAGAGGAAGCTGTTGGCCAGACTACCATAGCCCTGCATGCAGGCGAAAACCACCCAGCACAAGGCCAAAGGCCAACCAACTCGAGTGAGTGTGTAGTACAGGGACTCCTCCACAGTTGGCAGAGGAGGAGCACTCCACTTTCCAGAAGGATAGAGCGCGAAAATTGAGGTGAAGATCATGGCCAAGCTGAGGATCCAACCGGACCAAACAACCAGTCGACTCATTTCGAATTTCCTGCCACGATTCAGGTGCAGGAAGTAACCGAACAGGAATCCAATCAGCCAAGGAGCAGCATGAGTGTGCGTGGCCAAATACAGCTTTCGATTTGCTTCATCATCACCACCGCCATTTCTATAAAAGTAAAATAATTATAAATAAATAATAACTCCTCAATTCAAAAGTCAATACATACTTTATACTCATCGAATAATGGTTGACCATTTGGGTGCCAAACAGACAACCAGAAAGTAAAACCACCACCACAGCAATGCCCGCAGCTGCCTTCTTTCCCCATTTATAGAGAGCAATCAGAAGAATTGGCGACAGGATATACAACTGCATGTCCACCGCTAAATACCAAGACTGATCCAGACACTGAAATTAAAAACTTATAAGAAGCAAAATAGCTTGGTTATCATATGTAGGTTCTTACCACACTTTCCGAAACGTAATTCTGGACAAAAAGCATATCCCAGTACCAGCCTTTAACACACTCCTCTTTGCCGTGGAAACCACTTTTGAAAAGTGGTCCGCCACTAACAACTGGCATGAGTTTCACGTAGATCAGGATGGCCATGGCCAAAACGGGGAGGATTCGAATAATGCGGTGTACATACATCATGGGCACATTTAGTTTTCCCTTGGTCCTGCAGCAAAATAATATTCTTAGTAAACTCTTAGTAATTGAACAAAATAATTTCAACTTACTTTTCCATGGTGCGCAGGGCAGTCATGGAAACTAGTAAGCCTCCAATAAAAAGAAACGAATCCACTGAGAAATAGCCGTGAACAAAAAAGCTTGAAAAAGGCTTCTCCAGCCACTAAAACGAGTAAAATATTTTAATTAATGTAAGGTATTATTGGCAAATACTATGAAGGCTTACCGATAATGCATAGGTGAAGTTAATATTTGGTGAAATAAGGGAATACATGTGCTCATGGAGAAAAACAACCCAAATGAGAGACATGCATCGAATTCCATTCAGGCAGTCAATTACATTCGGGTTAGAGCTTCCATCTACGAGACGGAAAAGAGCTCTAGAATTTGCTCTAGCGGATACGATTTTTACAACGGCTGGACGATGTTCTAAAAAAATCATTTTAAATTAGTTTATATGTGCTTAAAACAGCTCTCAAGAATTACTTACTCTGATTCTCACACAAAAAGTAATCGTAGAGAGTGCAGATACTCACTACCAAAGTCAGCACTGATAATATTACACTATAATAAAGGTGTTATATGTGTAAAGATAAAGTAAATCCTTTTAAATTTGATGTACTTACATTGTAAAAATGGTGAGCCAATCCCAGGGCTCAGGATCGCTTGTCTGGCAACCATCTTCCTCAATAGTCATCCCTATTGTTTTGTTTAAATTAAAAACACTTTGATAAAGTTTGCTGGCGAACATTTCCATTTGAGTTGCTGAACAGGAGGCCGGAAAACAAGTAGCTATCTTAATTTGCATGCCTTCCAAGGATCCAATTCCAGTGTCCAAAATATCCTTTAGAGGCACTGCCATAAAACAATACTTTCCCTGAATTGTTTGGCTGCTGCTGATCGCTTCATGAATGTTAATGCACTCGTCAAAGTTTCCCAGATTGTAAAAAGTTCCATACAGCAGACCTGAAGGAAAGGAGCCCCAAGAATCGAGCACTATAGGAAAGAAATTTGATTAATACGGGTTACGCCTTAATTCCATTTACTTACTTTTGAGTGCCCAATAACTGCCCGATTTCAAACCTCCAAGAAGCTCTGTCATATCTGCCTGGCATTGCGAATCATCCGTACTAATAACCCGGGTGTCAATTTTCTCATAGTCAATTCTTTGCGGCAATGTTGTCTTAAGAACACTTAAACGGTGATGAGCCAACTGAAGTTCGTCCCTTAACTGGTTTGCACTGATGAGTCCCAGTCCGCAAAGGAGCCAAATAGCCACACCGTTGACCATGTTAATTCGATTGTATTTGATTGTCTCGGCCCGGTCTCTAATGCTTTTATACGACAACCCTCTTGGCGTAATCTCGCGATAATGTTATCAACGGGTATCCCAATGGGTATCGCTCGGAGGAAAAACCCTTGGGGTGGGTCTAAACTCATGGGAACATCCGTGATAATGCACAATCGTTTTAATTTACAGATAGCTGAACTCCAAATGATGCGGTGTAGCGCTTTTTTCCTACTTGTAGACTAAGTGTTGGATTTCCCTAAAGCTTTAATGGGGTAATGGGGTTCCCTTTCATTTAGCTTATCTTTTCATAGCAACATTAAATAATTAAAGACTTTTAATTTATTGGAATACCTACACAAGATATTAAATCCTGTAACATCTTTGAACTTCAGGCAAAATTACGCCGTACAAAGTCGTCACACTCTCTCCATTCATTTGGAACTTCCTCTTTTTTGTTCGCAGCTTGAGCCAGACATAAACCTATTAAATATTTTTTCCCAATAATTTTCAAAGCATTAGCTCATCATCAATTTGCTGCTTTGTGAAATTGGCAGCAATCACGTTATGCTCACCCGGCCACGCCCCCAAAAAAACACACACACACAGGAGTCGGGAAATAGGAAAAATAGGGAAAAGCAAACACACACACACACCCACACATACGCTGGGAGTACACAAACCCACCTATACTTAAGCACATTTGCTTAATTTTCGAAATGAGTTCGCATGACTTACAGCCAAAACAACCAACCACCCAAACACCCAACCACCCAAGCACCACCCACTCCCCGCATCTATCATCCAGTATCCTTTATGGCCGACTCTTCTTTCGCCTTCGACGCTGGTCTGAGTCATCCGTTTGCTTTCTCGTTGATTAAATACGGAAATTGTTTGACTTTAGTTAGGCGCATGCAATTAATTAAATTAGAGTCCCGAAAAACCATCAAACAAGCTTGACATTCAATAAAGAGTTCAAAGCGGAGACACATTTCAAGAAGTACAACCCAAAAGTGATTAAAAGTAAGCTTTTTTCAGGAATTGATTCGTTATTGTTACCAAAATACAACTCCCTGGAATAAATCTATGTTTAAATCGACTATCTATTCGATATATCTTTAATGTATTCCTCAACAAGCTAGAAGTGGCAGTATCGCGTTGGATTTGAAGGCGGTTATTGAAATTGAATAATCATTTTGCCGTGGGGGATGGACTTCATGCAAATTTCAATTTGGCCGAGGAGGAGAACAATCCTAGCCAGCTCCTTGGGTTTTTGCGGTTTACGACTTTATTTCATGACAGATTGTCATTTCAGGCGGCGAAAAGTGTAACACGCCAATCCCCGACTGGCATAATGAGGGAATGGCGTTTTTTCATCATATTTTATTGGGCCAAGGAGCTGCGCTATTCATCATGTATCCGCATCCGCGCATATGAAACCCATTTGGCCCGAACCCAAAACCCATACAGCCAATCCTGGCAGACGCGGCACGTGCCATAAAGCGGCGTGGCCAATAAAGTCGGTGCCGTTCGGCGCGATAATAAACATGCTAATGCTCATTAAAAGGCGAGTTTGAATTGAAAATCCCCCAGAAATTAATGCCAGCGTCGACGTAACGTGGCTTTAGTTAATTGAACATGTCGGCCGTGTAAATGCATAATTAAATTACTTCAACTTTAACTAAATCGCATACACACTGTTGGCCAGAAAGGTGCGCTTAAATACTTCATTAGAAGCAATTCATTTGTTTAAACGGCTGGGAAAAGAGCGTGTACCACATAATTGAATGCACTACATGCTGCACATCTGTCTACCGGTCCTCCGGTCCACCGTTCTATGTAATTACGTTAATTGGCCTCAAATGCTATTAAATGTTTGCAAAACAGGAAAAGGGCATGCAATTATGTCAAGAGCACACACTAAAAATAGTTTAAATAGTATGCAAAATTCATAAACAAAGTTTTGCATTTGCAATAAGCTAAAAGCAAACAGGGAAAGGGTAAAGACTTTAGTTAAGGTACATAATCATTCGCAATTGTGAAAACATAATAAACACAAAACTTTGTTTTTAGTTAGGCAAATACTCTGATTGCTTTAATATAATAATTGGCCTAAGCAGGTTTGAATTTATTTCAAAATATGTAGCTGTAAAGAAGTGGAAATATCCGCGCTAATTGTTTATGTTGATATTTGTTTTTAAGGTATTATTTTGTATATTCTCTTGATGATTTAATAACGAAAACGCGATTGAAATAATCTTTTCATTTTGTTTGAAAATGTAATGTTGGAATTTAATGCTTGGAGTTTAATGCTTTTTGAATTAATGCTCTAAGAATATGGTTTTTAGGTACAGAGTGAAATGGTGTAGGTTCGATTACCACCTTCTCAGTCACATCTTCTTTCTTTTCAATTTCTTATCAAATGCCAAGAAGGCATTACTAGCTCTAAACCTGACGCGTTGCAAAAGTGCACTCATGAGCTGGGCCCCTAAGTTCAGAATTGAAATTGGGGAGCTGGAAATTCCCGGGGAGGGACAGGGAGCCATATTAACTTCTGCTGCTACTTTGATGATGATGATGATGATGATGGAGCGGTGGGCTAAAAAGCAATACCGCAAACACACATTTTCACACCCGACCAGCGTCGCATGTCTAGCAGCTATTTATAGACACCCCCTGCCCCCTCTTACACCCGTCCCACTCGCACACACCTCTTCTCTCCATCTCGCTCACTCGCAAAGTTCGCGTGTGTGTGTGTGCTTTTGTGGAGAAGAGTGAAAAGTGGCTCTTTAATGGGCATATTGCATACTTTCGGGCACAAATCGAGTCCATTGTTGTTGCAGTCCATCCAAAATTCGATCGAGAGAAACCTTCCATAATTACTTGCCATTCGGCCAGATGACTTTCCGTTACACATTAATCCCGGCCAGAATCTGCGAAGGCTCAAACAGACAAAGAGCAACTTTGGACGAGTCAATTCAATTTCAATTTATCAAATGCCTCAGCAATTTCTCTAATTGAATTTCGTTTCATTTGGCGTAGCATAATTTATAAAATATAACATTTCAATGCCAGGCTCCGGCTCGAATTGATGCCATTCACTCAGACCCCCCAAAAAAATAAGAAGAAAGATGAATCCGGCTCTCTAAGCCATTGTGCCCAGGATCCAATCATTTTGAGCGCATTCCGCCTTCGCCGGCGATAAGTTTGCTTATAAATCACAACTGTCCGATGGCCGATGGCCCAAGGATGGCGCATCCTCCTCCGTCGGGGCTTTTAAATCGATGAGCACATCGCCGGATTGACAATAATATTTTAAAAATAATTTTATTATTTCATTCAGCCGGGCACTCATGCAGACACACAAGGGAAAACTTCTGGCCAATAAGGAGGAGGGGGAGGAGCATGAGGAGGTGGGGGAGCAGCAAATAAGTGGGAGGTGGGAGTTGGGAGTCCGGCAGGATGTCCATCAGCTCCAATGGAGCGCTGTTCGGTCATGCGTGAATGTAAACGCAGCTCGTAGCCACTCAAGAGGCAATAATACAAATTTGAGCATTTTCTTCGCTCCCTCTATCTCTTTAATTAAACGACAAAAAGCGAAATCTAATTGTGTTTGTCTTTCCGGTAATATGCAAAAAAAAAAAAGAAATGAAAAAATAATAATAATAATTCCACTTTTCTAGGCACGGGGCCATCGCAGGTCATACTGCCCGATGACGTACTTCAGCTTCCTGATGGTCAGCTCCACCTGCTCGTCATCCACTTGGTGGTAGAGCACCAATCGAGCGAATGCCCAATCCCGGGCACTGGCCTTCACCACGATTCCAGCTCCCTTTTTGTCCGTGACACCAGCTTCCAGTTCTTGCGGTTCTACAGTACTCAAACGGGCGGAAAACTCACTGGCCTCCAGTTTGGGTTGGGTTATCTCCACCAGGAGAATGTTGCTCTGGACAGTCTCGAGGTCCACGGTGATATTGGGACTCTGCAGCTCGTGAATTGCTGAGAAGGAATATGATTTTTATGAACGTGAAAGGAAGTTAGTTGAAGTGCAGACTTACCTTTGGCAATTTTCTTGGTGCGCTCGTGATCCTTGCTCAGTAGAGGCACCACTTCATCTAAGGCCACAAGTCCTGCTGCAGCCAACACGCCCACCTGCCGCATGCCTCCTCCCAAAGCCTTGCGTAATCGATAAGCTCTTAAAATTTTAAAATATGGATAAATATAAAATAAAACGCAAAACATCTAAAAACTCGTTAGATTACTTTACTCATACAAAAAAAAAAAAAAAAACAAGAAAAGAAGCTAGCTTCGGCAATCCGAAGCTTATATGTATATAATCGCGCAGTCATCAGTTGATCCAAATGCAAAGAGGCTAAAAAACATCAAAGCTATGCCGATTTTTCTATACATTTTCCATATTTTCGACTATTTATTCATATGGCAGCTATATGATATAGTTGTCCGATTTTTATAAAATTTAATTCGTAATTCAAAAGTCGTTAGAAAACTCTATATTCCTAAAATGGTGCTTGTCTGCTGAAAAACAACGATGTTTTAAATTTATAATTGTAATTGTTTGATATATTGATATATTGATATATTGATATATTGATATATTGATATATTGATATATTGATATATTGATATATTGATATATTGATATATTGATATATTGATATATTGATATATTGATATATTGTTATATTGATATATTGATATATTGATATATTGATATATTGATATATTGATATATTGATATATTGATATATTGATATATTGATATATTGATATATTGATATATTGATATATTGATATATTGATATATTGATATATTGATATATTGATATATTGATATATTGATATATTGATATATTGATATATTGATATCTTGATATCTTGATATATTGATATATTGATATATTGATGTATTGATATATTGATATATTGATATATTGATATATTGATATATTGATATATTGATATATTGATATATTGATATATTGATATATTGATATATTGATATATTGATATATTGATATATTGATATATTGATATATTGATATATTGATATATTGATATATTGATATATTGATATATTGATATATTGATATATTGATATATTGATATATTGATATATTGATATATTGATATATTGATATATTGATATATTGATATATTGATATATTGATATATTGATATATTGATATATTGATATATTGATATATTGATATATTGATATATTGATATATTGATATATTGATATATTGATATATTGATATATTGATATATTGATATATTGATATATTGATATATTGATATATTGATATATTGATATATTGATATATTGATATATTGATATATTGATATATTGATATATTGATATATTGATATATTGATATATTGATATATTGATATATTGATATATTGATATATTGATGTATTGATTTATTGATGGTTTGCTGAAAATTAATTAAAATTCACCACTTCTATGTCCATAACTTCTCTAATTTAAATTCGATTTTGAAGTAGCATACATTATACGAAATTGAAATATTAACTAATGTCATGTTTCAATTAACTGAAAAGGAACCAAAACCACGAACCAAATTGCACAAGTACACTAACGCGAAGGAGCAACCAAAAACGGAGGAGTAAATAAGACCTGGCAATTGGCGTATTGGATACTCATCCGCGAGGGCGGGGGATAAAACTCACTCCGAAATGAAGGCCTTGGATCCCACCAGCACGGATCCCACGGGGGCCGATAAGCTCTTGCTGAAGCAAACGGAGACGGAGTCGAAGTCGCGGCAGATGCGGTCCACGCCCACGCCCAAGGCGGCGGAGGCGTTGAAGACCCGTGCTCCGTCCATGTGGAGAGCAATTCGTGCTGTACCGGTGCCCACTCCAGGCTTTCGCACCAAGGCGGCCAGTTCGTCAAGGAAGGCCAGCGGCACCACCTTGCCGCCGCAGATGTTGTGGGTGTTCTCCACCACCACCAGCGAGGTGATGGGCTCGTGGCAATCCTCGTGCCGGATCCTGCGGCGCAGCTCCTCCAGGCTGAAGGTGCCGTCCTGTGCGTTCTTCAGCGTGGCTAATTGGACGCCGGCCAGGTGAGAGGCGCCACCTAAACGTGATTAATGAAGACGCTGCGGAGTCAGTGGCACACACAGTGCGTGTGGTTTTCCCATCTCACCTTGCTCGTACAGAAAGATGTGCGATAAATCGCCCACCAGGGCCTCAGTTCCTCGACGATGGCAATGGACCATAACTGGGGGGAGATACAAGGCAAACATTGCAGTATTTATTTGGCTTGGGAGACGGATAATTAAGAAGGCCACCACACGCCACTTTGGCTAAGAATCTAAACTCACACTTAAAACGTTCAGCAGATAGTTCCTATATGCCAAGATTTAAAAAAATTAAAATCAGCTTAAAGTTCTGGAGCATTCTACAATTTGAATTACCCTAATCTTACATCATTAAGCACTTTAATCTTGAGAGCTTGCGGGTAATTTGATAACGTAAAATCTCTCCATCATTTTCAAATCTATCACCTGTTCAACCTTATGAATTTTCCATTGAAGTGTTCTTTCCCCTTCTGAGATAAGAAATGGTTAATATCAGTTGTGACGGCCAAAAAGCATCACCAGACGTTTCTTACAATGATTTGTACGTCTTGACTATAATTTCACAACTTGATAATGAATTACCAATATACAGCTCCGAGGAATAAGTATGATTTGCCTTTTTTTCTCCTTTCAAATCTTTATTCAAACCTGAAAGTGCTCTTATAAATTTCATCTTTTATAGTCGTGAAAAATTAGCACAATCGCAAGTCTTAAGTGCAGTTTCTTTTCGAATGAAATGCAAACTTCAAATTCCATTAGAAATATTAATTCGAGCGAATGTATAAATTACTCGAGATTGCGATGCCCGAAGCAGTTGCTCCTTGGGCTTTCGTCCTTTATCCTTCTTTTTTTGTTTTTGCGTTCTTTGCTCTACTGTGTGGCACACGTCCACGTCTAATATTAAAGTCTATAAAAATTAATGTTATGTTTATGGGCGCCCTTAACCTTTACGATAATGTACCTGATGCATGATATGAGCTCTGCTTTCTTGTTTCTTTCACCTTTTCTGTTGGCCCACCTTGGCTTTTGTAATCTGAGACTGGCCTCGGTTTAAACTAATAAACATAAGCGCTCTTTCCCTTACTATACGGAATACGGAAATCCACCAGCGGAGTCCGAAAACGAGCCGACTTTATTTACGAGCTATGGTTGCCACTCACTTGCCAGTAGATTTCCCATGGTGCCGCTGGGCACAAAGAGTCCTGCCTCCTTGCCGAAAATGGCCGCCGTCCGCGCCTCCAATTCATTCACGGTGGGATCCTCGCCGTACACGTCATCGCCAACTATGGCGGATGCCATCCTAGCCCGCATCTTCTCCGTGGGCTGGCTTACCGTATCCGAGCGCAAATCAACGATGGAGTGGGACATTTTCTGGAAGTTGATTAGCTTGGATATTTGCATAAGGTGGGCTATGTTGATTTGCCTTCTTTGCGGGCAGCTACCCAGCTATACGGTCCCAATGGAATCGCAAACGCTCATTTACATTGAGACACGTCAGTTGCATTGCCTTAAATAATTGATATGGGCAATGGGCGATAGGCGGTTTGGGACCTCACACCAAATAAACAATCACTTCTCGACAGCCGCAGAGATACTCGACATTGGAATGCGGTCCGCCCAGCGATTGCATAATCATCTTATTGTTATGTTTTTAACACTTGATCTCCCGTTTGAACTCTTGTTTCCAATCGAGTTTTTATACACATAATTCAATTTGCAAAAAAGAAACTACTCTATGTCAACAACCTTCCATTAATGAACTTACTTGGGCTTTCAATTGATAAAGCAACTAGTCAACAAAAAATACACAACGTGCTCGGAGCAGAGCTGACTAAAAACTGACCCCAACAGCTGCTATATAGCCGGCATTATAATTCTTTGTAGAGCGGCCTCCAGCGAAGAGAGCTGATAATACTGTTCCCAATTGAGCAGCAATCGACGGAATTATCCGGAGAACCATAAATATCACTCTCTTGGAGCACTCTCTTTAACAACATACTTACTCTCTTCAGAAAAAACCTTTAAAGATCACACAACACTCTGATTTCTTTGGTACTTTTTTTTATTAATTACATCAGAAATTTTCACTAAAATTTTACTAATTCTAACACAATTTAGTTGTTGTCTCTTTATCATTTAAACACTTTGTTCACCTGTTTCTACGCCAATCGATGTTGTCTATCTTAACCACACAAGGTACAATTGAAAAACGTTACCATAATAAAAACAAATTTAACTTAGCTATGATAATCAATAATAGTAATAATTAGTTGTTAACAATAGTGTTCTCTCTTTTGTTTTGTTTCCCACATGGTGAAGTACATGATTCTCGCTGGAACTGATTGGACTAACTAATAAGACGATCCTAGAATCGGATAAAGCTACGCCTGATATCGATCATAATGTTAGGTCAACTTACAAACTAAACTTGCAACAACTTTTCTTGAGAATGGGCGTTTTTTTTTGGGGGGCGAGAGTGGGGGGGTTTTGGGGAAATTTGCATACGGGAAAAGTGTATGCACATAAAAGTCATAAAATGTATGAAAAAATTATAAATAAATATTTAGAAAATAGTTTCAATTTTTTAGTTTTCCTCTCAGTTTTAGTTCTTCTTGTTTATGTTTTATAGTCTTTTGAACAAGTTTCCTTCTGGCGCACGCTGGCAAAATGTTAAGATTTGCCCTGATTTAGTTTCTACTTTCGCATTCGGGCTGTTTGCACACTGTGTCTTTGTTTACTTTTGGCACCCACTGTAAGCTATAGTGCTTTAGTGTGATTTGGGTGTGCGATTGGGTGGGAGGTACTCAATTTTCATTGCCAATCGATGCTTTTTCAGCTGCCCGACAAACAATCTAGGTGAAAGTATAAACATTAGAGTGCATTCATTTCCTCCCCTGGCTCTTGGCCTCATCTCCTTTCATCATTTTGTTTCCGTTTCCGTATCTGTTTTTGTTTTTGTTTTTGTTTTTTTGGTATGTGCAGACAGAGCGACAGGGATTCGTTCACTTAGGACGCTGATCTTTTTCAAAGACCGATTGCCACCAACATTAACGCTAATTGTTTTCTTTTAGTTATAACACACAGGACACGCGACTAACAGCTAGGGATTTAAGCTAATGCTCTAGGATGATTTGTGGATTCGCTTCGGACACCTTCTCATCGCTATGAGGAGAGGTCCGTCTCCGATCCGTCCACCTCGCCCGGCGGATTCCGCTTGATGCAGTCCCGTATGCTCTGCAGGATGATCCCGGTCCGCCGGTCCAGGGCCTCCAAGTGCGGCTGCCAGAGCACAGGACTCACCGGATCCTCGCTGAGCGACTCGCTCATCAGCTGGGAGAGGGGCTTGGGTCCATTGTGGAACCTGTAGGGAAGTTGGGAAGATTTAAGTTAGCTAACATTTTCGGCATTTCTGTTGAAATTACAATTAATTAATATGGTACAATTGAGAATAAATTTATACATGGAATGAAACTCTTGATTAGATGAATTAATTGTTATTTTAATTGGATTTGCCTTTTCGTAATTTAATCATAAATAACATTACATTCCTAATCTTATATATTTATTTATTGTTATCAAGTCAAATATCTGTCTATTTTAATACATACAAAACTTACTCTATTATTAAAACCAACTAAACTTCAATTGTGCAGGTATGCATTTCCAAATTAGCACAATATAATCACAATTAATCTTCATTCTGGGAAATTGAATAACACGCAGAGATGGATGTAAGAACCTGCCTATTGAATACCGAAGCTCAGGGCAATCCTCATGGACTACGTTACATAATTCCCGACTTAATTCAATACTCACTCCAGCAGCTTGACGAGCGTCGACTTGCGTATCAGGCAGCACTGCAGAACTGGAGCCAGAATGGAGAGCTCGTCGTGGAAGGGCCGCCCGAAGCCACGGCCGTGGTCCAAATGCAGGGGGAACGTCTCGTTGCCGTACACCCTGGAATGCAAACGAAAGCCGGGCCAAATTAGAGTGAATTCGGCAATCAGACCGGGCCAAGATCCGCCTGCCTGCCCAACTGCCTGACTGCCTGCCTTTCCCTGGCAGATTGGCGGCATAATTGCCTGGCAAAAAGTGAGCAGACGAACAGGTGAGGGGTTTTTCGGGGATTGAGGGGCAAACCGGTCGCACTTTGAGGCAGGTGTTAGCTGGTTGCCAGCGATGACATCGCCTTAAGCCCAACAAACGCTTTTGCATAACAAACAATTTAGCAGGAGACCCAAGTCGGCCAAGTCGCCCTGGCACCTGGGCGCCAAATCCCCAACATCGATGATGTGGGACGCCGGATGCCGGACGACGTGGCATCGTGGCGGCGGCGTTGGGCTTACAAAGCCGAGATGTTTTGCAACCTTTTGCCGGCTAGAAATATCTTTCCAGCTGCTGCATCTGCCTCATCGGCGAGGCAACTGCTTGGCTGCTTGGTTGGTTGGCTGGCTGGCTGGCTGTTTGGCATGCAGGTGCTGGCATATCCATGGCAAATGCAGGCGCTTAGGCGCACACGGGGCGCATACGTAACGTAACATAAAGTGCCAATGGCGAGATGCGGAGAGACGCAGGCGGCAGGCGGCAGTCGTCAGTCGGCAGGAAGCCAACAAAGCCATGTGTGCGGAAATAAACCGATCGCATTAGTTACGATGCCAAGGACTCGGATACACAGCCGTGTGCACTCGCATCCGGGGAGTAATCCCCACATTCCCAGTTGCCCCCCCATAGTATCTCCCCCATACTCACTTGAATGTCTCGTAATGATGACGATCCATGTTGCCAGTGAGAAAATCAAAGACGGCCATGTCCATGAGGTCGTACAGTCGCCTTCCGTCGTCGTATGGCGGAATATCCCGGACCTAAGTGGGTATTTTCCAGGGACGAAGAGGGAGAGGGTGAAAAAGAAGGGAAAATCAAATGCAAAATTAAGCTGCAGCTCGGCCAGCGATGTCTTAATTAAGTCAGCTTCGGTTCGCACTCCTCATTCCCCTCTTCTGCTACGTTGCTACGACCACAATAAAAACATTTGCATTTCAATCGAGTTTAAATGCAAATTAAATAAAAGAAACCGCAGCAAGATGAGAGGGATGAGGAGGAGGAGGAGGAGGAGGATGGAGGGGGAGTACTTGGAGGATACATACCAGGGCACAATAATTGGCATCTGTCTCCCATTGGGCCTTCTTCCTTTTGTGGTAGGAGCGTCGCCAGGGATGCCGCCACAGCTGTTGGGAAAAAGGAAAGTAGGACCGGAAATCAATTCGCATCCTTGCAGGCAAACGGAAAACAGAGAGCGGCTAGCAAAACTGTCCGACAGTTATGCCTGTCTTAGCGAAAGGCATCTCGGCTGAAATGTACACTCTTGAAAATTGTTTTCTTTATCTTTGAGTGTCCCCTTTGAGAACGGCAGCCATAACGACCACAAACAATTGTGTCCCTTCAAGAAGTGCACTTCTTCTAATATAAATTTATGAGAAAATTCTTTTATCAAAGAATGAATGAAAATGTTTTTTTTTTTTTTTTGTTTTATAAGCTGATTTCAATGAAAACAGAAACAGTTTAATCGCGTTCAATAGAGAGTGGTAGAAAACAAATAATTTAAAAGCCTGAAGGTCACTCATTCATTGCCTTAAAAATACTTTTATGTATTTCTGGGTTCAAAGACCAAACCCAGTTTGTTTTTCTATGTGTAACAATATTAATTTTATCTCTGTGGCTGCTCTTCATGCTTCTCTCGCGAATTCTTCCAACTGCAGGCCAAATTAATTTTGCTTAAATTAAATTATCTGCCCAGCGCTGGCCAAGGCGGGCAATAAAACTTTTGCGCACCCCCGCGTCACTTCTCTTCTCCATCTTTTCGGCCACCGCAACTTACCTTCCGACCCTGCGTTGCGGGGTCAGGGGGTCAACAATAGCGACAACAACAAGAACGACAACAACGGTAACAGAAACAGGAACAAGAACAGGAACAGAAACAGGAACGGCAAACGGGAGCGGGAGCGGGAGCAGCAACAGCAACAAAAAAGTATATATGAAATATATATAAAAGAATTAAAAATCTGAAGAGGGGAGGGGAGCGGGATAAGCGGGAGCGCACAAAAATGCATAATAAAAGCTCGGCGCGTTGGGCGTTTTATGCTGAGTGGGCGTGGCGTCGGCGGCGGCGGAGTGTGTAATGACCGGAATCGGGGGTCCAAATGGGGCAGGGGATTTCCCGGGACACTTTGCGGGTGGCGGGGGCGGTGGGTGGCAGGGGCTAACGGTCCGAAGAATGCAGCAGGCGGTGCAAAGCAAAGCAAGGCAAACAGAAAGCGGAAAATGCTAACTGGGGGAAAAGCAACAAACTACACAAAAACGAAAAAAAACGAAACGAAATGCGAAAGAAGCAAACATAAAGCTGGAAACTCAGGTAAGTTAACGCTGCCATGGTGACAGCGGAACGGGGTTCTCATGGCGCTCTTTAGCTCCCCAGTTCACCTTAGCTTAGCCGAAAAAAAATGCATAAATCAAGCAAAATTAAATTTTATAAGAGCAGCGGGAAATGGAGGAGGGGCACAAAAAAAAAATGGTAAGATAGAATGTGAGGCAAGCAATTTGCAATTTTTGTTAGCTGCGCGTTAAATGGACTTGATAAATTCGCGGAACGCAATGGAAAAGATTTAAAATGCAATGATATTTCTATGAAAATTGCCCCTTAAGTCAGCAGATTAGTCAAGAATTTATTTATTAACGTTGACCTCGGACAGCACAACTTAGTAACTACACAAGTGGTTATAAGATGCACTAAAATATCTTTCCCAAAATGTTCTCAGTCATCGGGATGAAATGTTTCTTAGAACTTAAAATAAAGGCCATGAGTACCTTAAAGTATGCAATGAAATAACATTTCTAAGTAATATTATTTCTTTCAAATAATGTGCATTAAAGAGTGATTAAGAGCTTAAGTAAGAAGTCACAATCTTTACTACTTCGATAAATCCTTTCACGTATTTTAATATTAGTATTTATTAGTAACACTTCAACAATGATATTAAAACTACTCTATTTCTACTATTACTCTTCTTCAATTTAAACACATTTTGCTAAAATGGATTGAATTTCAATTAATCCTCTTCTAGACAATTGTTTAGAAATCAGGATTATTTCTCCCCTTGCCATCAATCATTGCAACTCAGTTAGCCATGGACTCCCCTTAACTGGATTCCCAAAGCATTTAACAAGCGTGCAAATCAAATTTGCAACTTAATTAAAATTCTGTTCAGTTACAAAAAATTTGCTCGTTGTTTACAGCGCAGGGGAAGCGAAACTTGGCCAGGCCGGAAAAAGAAAGTAAGGAAACCTGAATAGCAAAAACCGGAGGGTTACGGGTTGAAGGGTGCCACAAAAAAAAAAGGGCTGCGGAAAAGGAGAAAGAAAAATGATCTCTTGTGCATAATTTACAGTTTTGCCTTACGCCAAATCTCAAGTATACACTTAACCATTTTCTACTTGTAAACTGTTTGGAGAGCGAGCCACAAAAAAAAAGGGGGGAAATAAAGAGAATTATTCCTTTGAGGCTTCGGGGCAAGGATACTAAAAAAAATATATATATCTATGCTCAAAATAGACCAAAAATAAAATGCCTCTGCTGCGGAAAATCTGAGGGATGAGGCGGATGAACCCTTTTTATGGCCGCAACTCGCCAACTGAGACAGTCAAGTCCTGAAGTGGACAGGACCGGGCTTTAATTTTTCGGTAATTTGCATTTAAAAGCTGTTGCCGTTGTCCCTTTTTTTCCCCCTGCTCTCTGTTGGCCCGCCCGTGTTTTTTCGTTTTGATGGAGTGGACTCTAAAATTTATTAACGTCAACGACTGAGCCCTGGGTTCCTGCATTTTATATTCCATTTTACGCTTTACCAGTCGCTGAAGAACTGATACAATATTTCTGCTCTTAATTCAACAGCCAAACGAATGAATGAAATGGGAGTGGGAATGGCAATGGGAAGGGCAATGGGAATGGGAATGAAGTGAAGTGGCTCTTTGGGGGCAGGCTAAAAGGTAAACGAGTCCGAGGCACAAACAAAGGATAAAAGGTATGCCAGAACAACAACAAAAATTATGCAAATTAAAAGTGAGTTCTTTCGTTTTTGGGCCATCTAGCACAGCCATCGAGCCAGTGGCTATTTAAAAGCGCCCTCTAAGCCTTAAGTGAGTTGTCCGGGGCTCATGTAGTCCTACGAACTGACCACCACCCCAATCCAAGGCCATAGCTCACCTGTTGCGAACCACACACATACACAGCTTACAGACTAAGTAAATAAAGTGATTTGTTATTTGGCCTGGTCGGCCAGGCGCACGAAATTGGTAATGAAAGCGGGCGAGGCATAAATTGTAATCTGGCGCAGTGTTGAAGCTGGCCGTGCATTAATCAAAAACCACTTAGCCAGGCTCACAGACATGCGTGCTGCTTGTACCCTGGATACTGAATGTTGGATACTGGATGCTGTATAATGTATACTGGATGTTGGATGCTGAAGGCTGGATGGAGTGTCTGCGAGCTAGGGGGATTCAGGGGGGAGGGCGGATACATACCTTGCGATTGCCCGACTCAAAGTTGGGCAGAAAGGCGGCGAAGGAGCCCTCCAGCATGTCCGGGTTGCCGCAAATGGCATGCGAGGTGTCACAATAGTACGAGCACTTGCCATGGAAGCATAAATTCAGCGATGGCGAAACAAAGAACGTCTTCAATAAATTCTCCTCGGCCAGTTGATAAATTTCGGTCGTAATGTTCAGTGTTCGCCCGGCCACGGGCATGGCACGCCGGAATCCCAGGATCCTGCAACCGGAGAGCGAGGCAGAAAAGCGGTTAACAAAATGCCAAACAAAAAAATCAGAAGGGAGAAGGTATAGTCGAAGGAACCGACTACGAAATTTCTCATTATTGGAGAGCACCAAAAAAATATTTATTAATATTAAAACGAAACTCTAGCTAAAGCTCTGTGCAAAATCTTTCCGCGAAATACAATATCCCTCCAATTAAGTTCCCAAAATATTTGTCAACCCAAGACACCTCTCTCAATATAGAGTACCATATTCCACCCACGAATAAAAGAAACGTCCTACGAAATAACAGCGCACCAAGTAAACTTTTCCTTAATGTTTTTTGGGGAGGCGGCGGAAAAAGACTGCGTGTGAAGCGGAATGCGTAATCAAGAATAAGAAAAATATTTGTGGACTGTTGTCAGGGAAACGGTGGGGAATAATACAATAAGGAAAATAATTCCTTGTTTATTTAAGGAAACCCAGCCGCACAACAATTGGGCTAATTGAGTGAAACCCGATCTAGAGCCTCTCTTTGTCTGCATTTTCATCAATCAAATCGGGGGAGCAAAGGTAAAAAATAGATTCCCCATCGAATCAATGAACGAATGTATCAGCAATCTTTTCGACGAGTCACGGTTAATCTCTTTCGATCCAAAAGGGTTCACGTGAGATTTATGGTATCGAGGCTCTGTGGCAGCAGACTGACCAGAAAATATTATCGAAATTATTTGGCAACATGGAGCATGTTCCCATTGTCTGGGGGTCGCCGACAGCCTGAGGTCAATGGGAAAGTGCCGTAAATTTATATCACCCACCCACAGACACTCCATCACACACTCCACTCCATTAGAGGGCTGACAGCCCGAGTTGGCAGAAGTTAGCCAGCAGGGAGTTGGCCAGTGGAAAATCGACAGGAGAGTTGGCCAGCTCGAGGGGACAAACATACAAACGAGTATGCGTGCGTTTGGCAGCCACAACAATTACACAAGTTATGAAGCCTTATCTAAATTCAAAAATCCCCCTACAATTAACCTGGCCGTCAAAGTTGTGTCAAAAGCCAAGCAGCATGAGCAGCAGGGGCAGTAGTAGCAGCTGCTAACTATGCAGACAATTACAGACTAAATTACAGCAGGACATGTCAGGCCACTTGGCCAAGTTAATTAGCCATGAAAGGGCACAGATAGCCGGACTGGCAGGGTTATGTGGCCACATCATTTACATGAGCCACTGCCACAGCTTTTTGCCTCCTGAAAAATATTCTTAAATATCATTTAATGGCGCCATTTTGGCCTTGGCCTTCCCAAACTGCTAAATGTATGGACATTTTTTATTTTATTCGGCCCGGCCATCATAAATAATGAACATAAATTGACTGCGGTCTGACCTCAGCAAAGGTTGGGGTATATAAAAGTTTGTGTGTGTAAGGATTATTGGGATTCTAATCGCAGAGGGTCAGGCATCCAAAAAGTGTTATAAATTTGAATGCCGAATGTTGGCCAAGGGACCGGTTCACATGGCGGACAAATTGGTTAATTTGATTGCTTTGTCATGCACTAAAAAAACGAATAACTTTCAAGGGGCCATAAATGTGAAATGTGGTAGCGAAATAAATTGCACACTGCTCCCAGGAAGTGTAATCATTATTTGCTGAGTCAATGCTTGATATTAGCAGGAACATTTTAAAATATTTGTATCCTTAATTTAATATAAATGGGGTTATAACAAAAACTTTATTGGTAGCTAAAGTTTCTAAAGATAAATTAATTTATATATGGTTTTAAGCAACACAGAAATGAATGTCACTTAATGCCACTTTAAACCAGTCAGCACTAACTACGTTAAACTACAACCCTTTATATCATCAGTTTACAATATCCAAGTACAGATATTTTCCATTCTTGTTTGAAATTAAATCTAGGTAATGTTCAACCCGCTGAGAATGCACTCTGGTTTGCCTAATTGAATATTTCAAATTGATTTTGCACAATATTTCCCTGATTTCCCCGCCTTTTTGCATTGCGGCTGCAATCCATTCAGCGCTCACCATAAATATTTACGTATAATTGAAAATTAAATTAAAAATAAATAAGAGTATGCCAGACATTTACACGATGTCGGTGGCGATTTAATTCGATCGAACGACTCCGGCACCGGAATGGAATGGAATTCTTATGCAGTCCAGTGCCTCGCGGAGGAAAAGCGGGAAAGCTGGGAAAATCGGCACTCACCTGTCCAGATGGAAGGCGGCAATCTCGGCGTTGTGGCGCTCGTAGTCCGTGAAGTAGAAATGGTTGGGCAGCGTTTGCTGGTCCCGCGGAAACCTGTGGAAATGCAAATGAGCAGGATCGCAGGGGTAAGTGGGTTGTGGGTGGAGATGTAAAATAATGAAATGAATAGAAACTGCGGGCTTCTGTCACCGGCTTAATGCATTTGCGTGGGGCCACTTTCAACTTTCCCACGGTGCACCTGCATTGCTACGTGCCAGCTTAATTACTTACACGGAAGGGAGTGCTATTTAAAACACAAAAAAAAAAACCCTTTATATGTATTTAAAAACAAAAAAAAAAGAACCCTTTCATTTAAATTGCAAATGAATGGCATTATAAGGACACTTTGCACTTTGGCAGCTGCGCTTCTGTGGACAAAAAAGGGGAGTGGGGGAAAGGGGGAAACTGAGGAATGGAAAACCAGCACGTTGACCAGGCGAACGCGTTTAAATCTCATTAAAAAGTGCATGAATGTTTTAAATTTGCGAGCAGCTTCAAGTGCCACCGCAAAACGACGGCAATGGACGTGGAATTTTCATCGACAGGCCGCAGGAAAGTCAGCGAATAAAAAGCGCAATTTTATTTACTCGCCTGTGCGAAAACTGTTGTCGACAAGTGGGCGAAAGTTGCATTCATTACGCGAGCGCGCTCGGAAAATCGCGGGTGGAAAATCGCTGGCAAGCGCCGGAGGTGCGGGGACAAATGCATTAAGCGGCGACAGACGGAAAAGTCTTCGCCCATCCGTTGGCCAAACTTACCGCATCGGCTTCATTAAGGCCTTGATATCGTTGGGGTACTCGATGATCAATTTCAGCTGGGTGCCGCCCTCCTTTTGCACTGCGAAGGATACGATGTAATGAATGTAAATGTATATGTAAATGTAAATTAATCAAGCACTCGAAATTAATTGAAGCAAAAACCGAATTCATGCAATTCGCACTTCACCGATCACCGTCTGCAGTCGGCTTTTAAAATGCTACCAAAGCCGGACAAGCTGTACAAACAAATTACACTCGACTAAATACCAATTAAAACGCATTCAAAAAGCACACACAAATATTGCGTATACGCAACCACACAAAGAAGCCAGAAATAAAATCCGCCTTGGTTTGTTTACGCTTCAGTGTGTGAAGTGAACCGAATGGTTTGATCATTGCAGACCGACACAAAAAGGGAAAATAAAAGCAAAACTCCTGCCGCACACAGACCGCATTTCATTAAAATTTATTCTAAAACACAAAGCAATGAAAATGACCCTTATATTCTTGTATTACATATGAATTATGTCTAGAAAGTTGCTCTAAAACCAAACTCCTGCGTGTTTGTCTGTTGTGGAACTTGGTCGCTTTTGTGCGCGGCGTGTACGTGATAAATGCCAGCCATACAAAGCCAAAGTTGCAGCAATTATGCTGCCACAGTGTCATTGTTGCACACCATTTCCCCCCTCCACTGCTCTTCTTATTCTCCCTTAACTGCAAATGAGTTTTCTTTTCGCAGCTCTGAGCTGGCGCTGTTAAAAGTTTATTATTAATAAATTATGAGTTTAATGAATGCGCTGGCAAAAACTTTGCTATGAAAATAGTTTCGCAGCGGCACCTCAATAATAACAGCCGCCAAGCTCTACATAATTGAGTTAAATGTGCAGCTGAGTCCGCACTTCGCATTCGCGCAGGTCGGGGCAACAAACTTGGCCAGTATTTATGGCTTTACAATCCCACAATTGCAGAACGGCATGAGGCGAACTCCGAACGGAAGCAGACTGTCTTACCAACATGCTGTATTGGCAGCTTGATCATGTCACGTAGCACCGCATCCACCAGAGTGTCCTGCTCGCCGTAGAGCTCCTTCTTCGTGATGCGCAATTGGAAGCGCTCCAAATTGCTGGCATTTGCACTGCAAAGAGATGAAGACGGAGACGGAGATGGGTGTTTGAGTTCAGATAGAGCCGGGCAAAAGGGAAACAAAATGATAGAAATGTAAGTAAAAATCGAGCATCGCAGCCAAGAGCCAGCTGTCGTTTGCAGGCAAAGGAAGCCATAAGGACAATCAGCCTGAGGGCGAACACTTTGGAAAATATAGGGTTCAATTTTAATTATAGCTAACAGTTTTTAAGTTAAAACATCCTTAAATACTTTCTTTCTCACTTAAAATAAAGTGCTTTGAGTACCTGAAACCGGAAACCTTTAACTTTGCTTATGCACTTTCTAAACCGGATCTCCTGGGAATTTTTAAGCAACTAAAGTCCGACTTTTCCCCCAGTGTATGAGCTGCTCAGGGCTCCCTCATAAGTATGCCATGCTTTGGGGCTGCATATCAAGATTTCTCACATTGATTTGTCAAAGCGAATGCCCTGCTCCTCGGCCTTTCTCTGCCGCTGCTGTCATGACAATTTGGTTTGCAAATGCCAAGACACCCCCGCATCAGTCGTAATCTTTGGTGGTCGATTTTTCCTGTTGCTGCCAGACTGGCAATTGTCGGAAAATATCTTTTTCTCTCCGATTATCCCTTCCACATCCACATCCACCACTTCCACATTCACATTCACATCGACATCCACTTGCACATCTTCTTTGCCTTTTGACATGTGCCGCTCACATGGCCAATGCTTTTGTCTTAAGCTCTTGCAGTTACGCTTTGCAGATTTAGTCCAATTTGTGCTGGTTAAGCACTAAGAGCCCTGCCAGAATTTAAGCTGCAAAGTGCTTTCCATCGGCATTAGCTTACCCCCGTTGCAATGCACAACAATTTATGGCAGCAGTCGGGACAAATTGAAATGCAAAACCGACGACTCGGTTGGTCAGCCAGTCAGTCAGCAAGTGAGGAATGAGCAGCGCTGTTCGGCTTCATTGTGCAGCGGGCTTATCGCGATAATGAAGTCATATCCGTTGCTCCCCTAGCTGCTCTCAACGGCGTCTACATAACTCATTGTCCTGCCATCACCCACTACCACCCATTACCACCCACTCCCACCCACTGCCACCCACTTTCACCCACTTCCCCCTAGCTGCACAGTCATAATTTGCCCGTCGACTTCTGTTATACTTCAACGCCTAACCCTTTTTATTCTGGCCGCGTCTTTGCCGTTGGCCTTTGTGCGCAGGAAGGAAACAAATGTCTGGCAGACAAGCTCCTTGTGCCCCCAATGACTTTCAATATATCAGCGTTTTATGGAAATGGTGACAACTTCCCGACGGCCAGAGTGCTCGGAACCCACCCACCACCCCGTTTTCCACCTGGCGGCGTAAAAGTGCTCGAAATCCGGTGACAATGGCCAGGATCTGTGGACCGGAGAAGGGCCAACAGGAGTGACGAGGGTTCACTCAGATTCAGGTTCAGGTTCGAGGAAAAAGAGCCACGTCAAGAATCCAAAGCAGGCTTAAATCCGCCGGATTAAAGACGAACCAAAGGTCGGAAAAATTTAATATAATTGCTATTAAATACCCAATTGCCCCTGTCAACTGAAGTAAAAAGGCGGTTTCCAAACACAAAAGCTATTTCCTGTATCTGTTTTTGGAAACGAAAAATATTTTTAGCAACTCACTTTTACGGAAAAGAAAACACTGAATGAGGTAATCTTGAATAATCTCGATAAGCAGAATTTAATAAAAAATTTAAAGCATCATCTCAAAACTTTTACATTATAAAAATATTTTCATACCTCTTTCTTTTATTCAATGCACGTGTTTTAAAAAAGAAAATAGACATTATCAAAAGTTTGTTTAATAGTTCTTCAGAAGAACATCAACTATAAGATATTAAAGTTTTTGTTTTCTAGTTTTGTGTAGTTTATGTGACACACACAAACTTTGTTTTTGGGGAGGAGGTTTAAGACTTTTTGAAGGCACTTGCACTCTGGGAAGTTCATAAGTTGCTTTTGTCAGTGTGCCGCAAAGTATGCTAAGCAACGTGTTAGCTTGGCCAAGTCAAATTTGAGCTCATGCTTCATTTGTCAACTGCGGTGGAGCAGCAGTGGAGCCATGTGGATGTGGATTCCAGATTCTGGTTTCTGGAGCTGAAGCTGAAGCTGCGTAATTGATGAAGCCGCTGGATCCGGACACTGACTAAGCACTGGCCGCCGTCCACAGAATGGCCATATGTTGTGCGGCCCTGTGGCTCTGTGGTCCGAACGGCCAGCTGTTGCACTGAACAAAAAAGGAGGGGAGACGGCGGCCAAATTCAAGCGAATTCAAATCCCTTGGGTAATTGAGTCACGTAAATCAGTTGCAGCGGCCGGCAGTGAACAAAAGCCAAAATCGCATTACAAGAGAAAGTGAAGAAGGTGGCTTGCCCAAAAGGGGGTGTCCAACCAGGGGGGGGTTTCACAAAAAGGGGGAAGGGGGTGGTTAAAAGTAGGGAAAGCACGCCAAAAGCGCACGTGACACGTGGCCCACAAACACATACGCCGACAAACACGGACTTACAAACGCTGACAGCCGCAGTGACAGCCAGCCACCACCACCTCCTTTTCCCCCTCCCCACCTCCGAAACCAACGTCCTTCAACCTCAGTACCCCTCGTAAAAACCCCCTTACCCCATCACTGGTCTAAGCCAGCGAAAAACTTTGTTATGCAAAGCGTTGACAGCTCAACGACGATGACAACAACGTACCGCAACGCAAAAACAGAAACGCTGCGAAAAAAGAAGAAATAATTGAAAAAGAGATTTTCATATAATTGGTAGTAAACCCCCTCCCCACCCCCCCGCTGGCCAACGAGCTGCCCCGCTCGGCAGTTGCACGTTTCTGGCGGTTACTTGCGTCAAAAGTTTACTTTGAGTTATGTTTAGCGGAAATTAAATTTATTTATGTCAGCGGCGGGACGGCGGATGGAAAGCTCCTCTGAATGACGCTCTCTAATCAGCTTAATTGCGCTCGGTTTGACGATTTGACAGGGCCAACGGAATCCTGAGTCCTGAATCTTGAGTCCTGCAGCCCTGTGGAGTCCTGCGAGAATCCGCTGTCATGGCAATGGCCAGAAATAAACTTGGCTTACAGCTGCAAAATTATTTCACGGATTTTGGCTCACGATAAAACGTGAAGTACCGAAAAAGAGTACTTTAAGCCGGGTTTTTGTTTAACGAAAATCTATGAAGATCACGTTGCTGGAAACTTTGCGATTTTTAATTGGTGGGTAGTAGACTATTAATGCTGCTTTTCGAAAATTATGTAAGTTATCTTTTTAAATAGAAATTGTTCACCTGCAATTTCTGGTACGTTTTACATTGGCTAATTAATGAAATATTATATTACATTTATTTTGCAACAAGATTGGAGTTCAGTACAAATAATTCTCACTTTTGAGCGAAACTTTCCAACCAGGATTATGACTGGCCAAGCGACTGGCTTTCACTTGTTGTTCGCAGCGACCATTGTTAGTGCTGTTATCCCCGGTGTTATACCGCCGACCGAAGTGGGTACTATAATAACAGCTGTCAGCCGGCATGTCCTGGCCTTTTGCCTAAGACTCCCTCCCCATTTCCCGCCTTCGCATCCCGCAATTATTTCGCCATAAGAAAATGTCAGTAAAGTTTCGCCAGCGCAGCTTTCCCCTTTTCTCACTCTCCTATTCTCATTTTCCGTTTTCCCCGAGCAGCTGCGTCCTGGCCGCAGAGCCACAGAGCCGCAAAAGTGCTGCTTAGATGGAGAGGAGGAAAAGTTTGTGCGTGTGAAATTTTGCGGCCGCCAAGACCAACGAGGAGCCATCGAAACGGACAGAAACGGACAGAAACGGACAGACTGCACTACGGACACTTTTGAGCCGAGTTGGCCAAAAAGAAGAAGTAGAAGAGTGGAAGGGAGTCGACTCGCGGGCCAAAAGGAAAGTGAAATTAAACTTATATTGTAGCCGGGGATAAAACTTCGCAGGCAAGAGCGCGAACATTAAAACCAATGACAGCGGACCAACTGCAGCTGGGATCCGCGAAATAGTCTGACTAAAAAGCTGATGGGAGTCCGGAAAATTTCCACTCCGCCCTTCGAAATGTCAGCAAGCTCCCGAAGTTTTACACACTCGCCGACATTGAGCATAGTCTTTTATTACCCGGCACTCGCTGGATTCATAGGAATCGCAGGATTCGCGTTGTTCGCATCCTGACCGACAGCTGCTAAAACTTCTGTTGTTTCTCTCTTTTTAGCCGGGTGTAATTCGCTTGAAATAAGATTTCAGTCGCTCGGCGCGCGGTCGCAATTGCAGGCTAATTAAAAATTTGTCATACTAATTAAACGACCCCCGGAACTTGGGCTGAATCAGCGGCAACTTTGCCGTAATTATATACCCGGGCTAATGCCGGACGGACTTTTGTCGTAGGATGTTTGGTCTACCTGACTCTTCAGCAGCCGCCGGTAATAACTCATCTCGTAATTTTAGGCGCATTTGCATTTTGCCACATTTTTTTTCTTGTCCCTTCAGTCTGGCTGCAGTCTTTTCTTGGCTGCATTGTTACCGCTACCTGAGCTCTGGGCCAAAAAGCGCTGACTAAGCCACAACCTAAAGGGAGCGATGTTGGCCGGGAGAAAAGGGAGCCCGTCGAGCATGTGGGAAAATTCTGTGACAGAATTTTAATGAGATATCGCCGAAAACGAAGCGACAGGCGACAGCAGAAGTAAAATCGAGGGGGGATAAGACCACAGCATCTGGGATCCAGCTCGATCCAGTTTCAGCCACACAGATCTTTATATCCCTTTCGGTTGATTAGTTTAACAGAATTTGAAACTAACAAATTCAATTTATTTAAAAATCCTCAATGAAAAAATAAACGAAATAAAAAAATGCAAATAAAATATTTCGAAATAGAATTCCCACTGATATTTTACTAATATTTCTTGTTGCAGTTCTTCCCTCAGCTTACTTTAAGCACTAGCAATTTCATCCTGTAAGCAAAAACAAATTGCACAAAGCCCAAAACTAAGAGTACTTAAAACTAAGCACCGGTATGCAGTAAACGAATAATTTTACAACATCACTTCTATAAAATTTGCACTCTGGCTGCAAGAGCATCCCAACTTCTTCTGTTAGCTAACCAGGTAAACCTGCTGGCAACTTTTTACCCTGCACATTTACTGGCAGCAATTTCGCTTGTTAATGAAATTTGCATTTTGCTACGTGCGACACACCAAAAAAAAGGAGCTAACTTTCCGGCTAGCTTTTCGGTGATGTGCTATAAATTAGAAAATCAAGCATTTTATGCTAATGCCAACGCCCACACATAGCTGATTCAGACAACACGGCCAACCACCCAACCACCCACACCACCCAAACCACCCAACCACCCACTTCCACCGCCAGCGAAACAACAACTTGAGTTTGACAAGTTTTTGCCACTTTGCATTTTAGCCATTTCGATTTTCTTCACTCTTCCGCTCCAGTCTACTCCAATTTTTGTGCAACTTCAGCTGGGCCAATGTTCGGCAACTATTGAAGCAAATAAAATTACTCATACGCTACGTATTCAATTTTGATAAAGACTACCAAAACGATTGGGCAACGCATTGTGAAAGCAAAGGGAATCGCTGAAAGAGGGAACGCGCGGAGGAAGATGGAGAAAACTAAGCTGATTACCGAGAAGGAAAATGAAATGAAAACTCGTCGAAATAAATTTCATTGCTGCCTCAAGTGTGCGGCGGGGAAAACCCGGAGGGCAAAAGTAAGAGATTCCGCCGACGGTGACGCAGATAAGTGAGGGGTGGTGCGGTGCAAATCCACATTGATTTCTTTATTGCACTTTTATTTGATTGTGCTCGCATGAAATTACGCATACGCCATGTTGAGACAAGGCAAACTCTCATCAACGTTATCGGCGGTCGGCATCCGGGAAGAAGCGAATCCGTATCCGAATCCGAATCCGTACAGTTGCCACCGGCAACAACAATCAGGCAACACTTACCAGCGACAGATAGAGACACGCTCGTAAAAATGTGGCCATAGAGAAAGTTCTGGGGGCATACACTGAAAATATTTTTAGTATTTTCCATTTTGGGAAATCCCCACGAGAAGGAAATCATTTTGTTTTTCTATAAGTCTACTCAAATTCGCTTTAATATTTCTCATTACTGCTTTCTCTGTATTTTATAATAAAGAAGTTATATTTTCTTGTGTAAAGTGGATTATTAAATTCTCAAGAAATCTTTCAGTTTTTATTATAATGAAAACACCACATTTTCTTGAAATAAATCTGACAAGTATCTCCATTTTTCTCTAACTGCACAGACTAAATGTCTAAAACGTAAATGTGTCACGTAAATGGAGCGTAAATTTCAATAAAAATCATTTCAATTCCGTTGAAGCCCGAAAAGTGCCGTAACTGCTTGCCGCTCTCCTTAGCCTTTAACTATCCTTTGCCACATAGAACCGTTAAGGATGCCCTGCCCCTCTTTTTCTACCTCCCACCCACCTTTCCCACACCACTATCAATTACCACGTACCCGGGTAAAGTGGCTCGAGCCCGGGGTAAAAAACTGTAAGCATTATGTCCTTCCGCTCAGGGGAAATTGAATTTTTTTAACGTTTCACTCCCCGGTTTTTATGTGGCACTCACCTGGGCTTGCGATGCAGCATCTCGGCCAGCGTGGGATTGTCCCTTGCCACATCGGGGGCATTGTCCACAATCACATGCGAGTACTCGTCGCTGAGCAGGTGTTTTTGTAGATCCGCATAGCGATCGTGCGGCGTGGGCTTCCGTGTGGAAATGGCGCCTCCCATTCCAGGACCCGCAGCTCCTGCAGAGGCGCCACCTGCCGCATCCTGGCCACTGGTCGCCCCGCCGCTCTGACTCGCCGCCGCCTGCGTGGAGGCCTCCTTGGAGCCCGAGGAGTTGCTGGGGATAAAAGCGAAAGAGAAACGGTGAGTAAGTGTGTTAAAAGAAGCTGCGCAGAAGTGAGTTTAAGGGAAACCAACAACAACAACAAGAAAAAAATGCCATAATTAGCGGAGACCCCAAAGCCGGCGGCACTTGACAATGGTCCGGGCGGAGCTCTCGTTGCTAATTGCAACTGCCAAGTGGCCGAAAGCCTCCTCTACACCCATCCCAGCCCCACCGGCTTTTACCGTGAGCCATCGAGCTGAACTGAAGAAGCCTTGGCAGCTAAGTGCCCCTGGCCAGGCTCCCAAAGACACGCACTTGCAGCCTGCAGGCAAACTGAAACTTTGTCAGCCCCGACTTTCAGTTGCGTTTATCTAAGACGAACACACGTGGCACTCTTCACTTGACTGCAATAAACTGAAATTGCAAGTACTTCAGGGGACCCAACCACATGCCACATAAGACGGCACACTGGCAGACAGTCCCATAAATATTAAAACCCCATTCTGATGGCAAGAGAATGATAGATGAATTATGAAACCAGTGTTTTCAGGGAGATACAGAATGCACATTGAAACCACAGCTTAGGAGTATTTTATTTTAAGCTATTTATTTTATTTTGAATTATTTTTTATTGTCCTCACTATTTACCCAACTTGAACCACTGTGCTTGTGCTGGTAATCAGCAGCCGTTTAGACAGCGCCTTCTTCAGACAAAAAGAGTGCATCCATTTTGCTAGCCTTGACTCTTAAAAGCGCTTGGAGAAATGCTCGAGTTATAAAAGCCTGGTCCACCGAGCAGCCAGCTCGTTAGCATATGTATCCCGGATGGCCCGGAATTATAGCATATATATGTAGATAAATGTGTCAGTGGTGTGACCATTAAGCCGAATGACACAACCGGCTGGCAACGAGCACTCGTGTGTGCAGTCTGCACGGAGATCACATCATTAGGCCAGAATCTCCAAATTTGAGCATTTCGCAAATTGTCATTTTCTGAAGTCGTTTTTATTTTTTAATTGTGGCACAAGTTTTTGGAGCGAAAGTCCTTTCTGGCTGTCTGCACCTTGTCTTATCCGTCAGGCAGACAGACAGGTGTGCACATGTGGCCCAGAGAATGCAAAACTTTTTCAATTAACAGTTGCCAGCCAACAGGCAGCGTCTGGGCCAAGACAGCAGATAGGCGGCCAACACACACACACACACTCGCACACACACACACTGATACACCGAGAGCAGAATGGTAAGATGCCGAGAAGCTGTCAACATTCCCCGGGGTGGGATGAGATATTATCTGGCGCCAAAGCCGCTTTCCACGGCAACCCGAAGGCATATTAAGAATTTTCCACCGTAACGAGCCTGGTCGGATTTCTCGCGTTTTATTGGCAGCCGCATAATGCCACTTTATGTGCTAATAAGTATTTAAATCCGCACCCGAAACCCCTCCTTGTGCTCCTCTTTCAGTGCACCCACTTGGGGCAAGGGTGCTCTGCTCTCGCTTTGTTCGGTTATTTACGGGGCTCGTTCAAAATTGATTCCGCCACACAGACAATATGGCTGTGAATATAATGGCACTGGCATGGAATAGAAACGCGTTTCGGCTGCACTGATCGATGTGGCGTGCACTTAATTACACTTCCGCGAAACTTTGCTCATTAAAGTGTCACGTGCCGTGCGTAACACTGGCCACATAAGCCGGCCATGTGCTGTGGTTAATTAACCAGTCAACTGCAACTGTAATGGCAATAGACGGTCCTGCAAAACAATTGCAGCAACATCGCCCCAGCCGCAGGATCATAGGTGAAAGTTTATGCAAGTCGAAAGCGATGACAGGGCCGCGGGATAATGGATGTGTTTCAGGGAGTCCTAATTGGATTTCGGTGCGGTACTATCGTTTGACACATTGTAAATTCAATCATGTCCAGATAGCGGAAAGCTGGAACTTGTTGGGAAGTTAGTATCGGGGTTGCCATTTCAGACTACCCGGAAAAAGTACTACATACTTTGCATTATATTTAAACGATCAATAGGTTTCAGTTGACCCTATTTACCATTTAAAAGAAATATATTTTACTTAAGCTTAACTCGATTTTAAAGAACCCCACAATCTCCGCCATCTGCAACCAGTTTAATTAAAAGGGTTAAGCAACTGCTTGGCAGCATGAAAACAAGGAAAATAAAGATTGATAACAACCGAAAAACGAGAATCATCACTGAAAATGAATTTTTGCCTGCGCAGCTTGGACGGCGAACACCATTTGCAGCATTGCCAAGTTGCTGCCTCGGTTTTCAGTTTTTAATGAAATAATTAAAAAATTATAAGGCAAGCGGCAGCGAGGAGACAAGACAGGAAATCAGGACCGAAGACGGGCGACGAGGGGCAAACATTTGATGCTTAAATAGAATTTATTACGCTTCACAGCCGCGTTGCACGACTCAGTGCATGGAGGCATCATAATTTTGCATTTGCCATGGCGCATAAGTAGATAGCAGGGAGTTCGAAGCTCCTGGGTTTCTTGGCTTGGACGGGTTGGGAAGTGGAGAGCTATTTTCCCTGAGACGCAGCAAATGCGAAGGAGCGGTTTCCGAAGGCATTCATTTTACGGGCTGGTGGCAGGCGGCTTATGAATTAATTAAATATTTACTGGCTAAACATTGGCGTTTTATGTTGCAGGGGACTGGGGAATCGGGGAATCGGGGTTGGGGATCCAGCCGAAGCACTCGGGATGCGATGCGAACCGGAGTCGTTTGCTGCACCTGAGAGGAAGTCCTGGGACCTGGAAGGATGGTCTTAACAGTTTCCCTTGCGCCTTGCTGCGTCATTTTGATGTTTTATTACTCGACTTCCGCCAGCCGCAGCAAAATGGCGGACGACAGCACCACCCCCTGTTTTTCCCCCCCCACTTTCGCCCACTTTCGCTCGCTTTCCACCCACTTCCCCACCCACCGCACGCAACACAAAAAGCGGCGTACGGAAAAAAATGAAGTGTTCAAAGGTAAAGCGAGTCGGCCCCGTTCGTCTGTACATATTCTCCTTGGCCGAGGCATTAACATGGCTACCGTGCTTGTTACTCCTTCTTGTAGTTACCAAGAAGTTCGCCCGGGTCCGGGTTTATGTTTTGTAGCAAATTACGTTTTAATGCCGGGGCCAACCAAGTTTTATTGCAACTTTTGTTGCATTTCAGCTAAATTGAATTATGTACCCTGCCGTGTTCGGTCGCCTTGGGGGGTTCGCTCTTCTCTTCACGGTGTTCGCGGTGTTCTCGTTGTTTGCCGGAGTCAATGGCCCGACCCCGTTTGCGATTTGTGCATAATTTTTAATCCCCTGGAATGGCCAGCGGTGGCCCGGTTGCCCTGGTCAGAGTTGGAATACTAAATTTCAACGCGCTGCCTTTTCCTCCTTGGGGGCTCCCAACCAAAAAGGGGAAAAAGGTTCCTAAATACCGAGGGGTTTATGGTTATTCTGAAGTTTCCAGTTAGTAAACGGCATGATTTAAAGATTGTAGTCATATTTTTAAAAGCTGAATAAAATTATTAAATTGCAATCACCTAAACCCTTTTTTTTAAACTTTAACATACATTCAATGAAAATAAACAAGTTATTTAAATATAATCTAATAGTATCTTTTACTCTAGATTTGTAATACATTTTTTATTTCAAATTTTTTATGTAACATGCTTTCACTTGCATATTAATCCCAACCAATTCGCACAGACTGATTTCCCCTCCAAATTATCCCCCGCAAATGCATCATTATTTTAATGAGGGTCAGTGTATATTACAATACTCCCCCGAACTAAATCGAACCGAATCGAACCGGCGAGGTTCCCGCTGATTAATTAGGAGAATGGAGCAGTAGAGGGCTTAGATTTCGCTCAAAATCCCACTCGGAATGCGGACTCACCTCTTTTGCAGGAATTTGCGCTTGAACTCGTGCAGCATTCCACCGCCAGCGCCACCGGTGGCATCATAGTCGTTGCTGCCGAGGCGGATCTTCTGGTGCTGCTGCTGCAGCAGGTGGCGGTTGACCACCCCGAAGTCCATTTGCACATCGACGATGAGCAGGAGGGTGAGCAGGACGAGGGTGGCGCCCAGACTGATGACCAGGCGCTCCTTCAGCTTCATAGTACGCAGGACGGCCATGATGGGATTTGTGTTGCAACTGTCGGTGGCACCAGCAATTGCTTTTTGATTGTCGGGTTGCTGGGTAGCTGGTGCGGCAGTCGCTTGGTTTTTCCTGTTGGTCGATCCAAAGCTGCGCAGCCTGGTCAGCCAGCCAATATTCCTCGCACCAGAAGTTGAGCTATCGTTTTTGGTGGTGGTGCTGTAGGTGCTGGTGGCAACCTCCGGAGTTTGCGGAGCGGTGCGGGTGGTGCGCACAATACGGCGCCTGATCACAACGCGGCGTCGTGGTGCCGCCGCCTCCGCCTCCTCCTCGTCCTCCGGTTGCGAGTCTGGATAAAGCACTCGATCCGGGGGCAGCTCCTCCTGCTCCGCTGAGGGCTCAGCTTCAACTGGAGCGCTCCCGCCGACGGGCCCTTCGTGGCTCCCCCTCGGCCAATTGGCTACGCCTATTTGTTCAGCTGATAAATGGCCAGCGTATTGGCTATCATAAACGTCGATATCAGTGCTGAGTTGTTGTTGTTGTTGTTGTTGTTGTTGCTGGTGCTGCTGCTGCAGTTGCAATTGCTGGCGATATCGAAATCGCTGCAGGCGCTCTGCCAGCGGCGTCGACTGAGTTGCCGCTGCCGCCGCCGGTCGATAGCTGCAAAAAAAAAGGGAAAAGAAAAATTTCATTAAAAAAATCCAATGAAAAATTCAAGGGGGTTGGTTAGTGCTCGTGATAGGCAATCAAAATTCAATTAAGTTTTCATGACTTGAAGGGCCTGGAAATGAATACAAAGCGGTCGCAAAACAAATCCCAGTAAATCCTTTCCGCAAACAAAACTAAAACCCCAAGGCATATACATACAAATTATAAAACCTATTTACATATTTAATTGATAATTTCAAAGAATTTATGTGACTTTCATTAAGTTAGATTGCCAGAATTAAACTTATTCTTTCATCGAGAAATCATGAAAGTTTATAAAATTCTCTTTAAGATAAAATTTCAATTATGAACAAATAGCAGATCATTTTAGCACTGCCAATTTCGAATGATATCATAAATTGATTTTGCATTAAAAATGTTTATCTTTTCCATTTGCAATGCATAAATTGCTATCTTTCGTGCTCTGCCCATGTTGATAGTATTATTTTTGTGATAAGCTATTAGTATTTATTTTTCAATTGGCTGACTCTTTTCACTCGCTCAACATTCCCCAGTTGCGGACGATTCCCGACCATAACGAGCTTCAAAAAATATGAACCGTTGTCCATTTTGTAGTTCGTATTTTGTGTCTGGTTATTCATAAAGCGGCGTCGGCAGCGGCGTCACGGCATCCGCCATGTTGACTGGCACCGGAAATGCGACAGCAGCCATTTTTTTTTTTCCACCGGCCACCACTGTTATCGCCGCTCCAGCGTGTTGTTGCTATTGCTGTTTTGCTGGTGCCATCAAGTTGCCTGTTGTAGCTCTATTTTATTGTCTCCACTTTTATTGTTCATGTTTTTGCTGGCCCACGTAGCATAGCATGAAGCATATTTTGCAGGCAGCTCGTTGCGAGTTCGAGTCGGGAATTTGAATTGTAACTGCAACAGGAAGAGCTGCTCGGTGCCAGGATCTGGAATAGGGCCTGCAAAGTGGCCGTTGTCTGTTTGGACGGGTGGCAAGTTAACGAAGCTTGTTGCTGCCCCACTCTGCCCACATGCAAAGTCAACACGGCCGCTCGACGACCGAAAATTGTGGGCAAAATGTTGAATTGCCCCGGGCAACGAATGCCGTAACTACATTAAATGTGACCAAAGTAAAGGAGATTGCACCTACACTTAGAATAACACGCAACCCTATTCGATTATAAAAATCAACACTTCTAGAAGCTATAACTCCGACAATTGTTATCCCATATCAAAATATGTTACCTCTAAATGCTTGTGAGCGAATTCTGACCGAACCAAGATAAAATATTTTAATTTGGTGATGGTCCAATTTGCGGCTCCTGTTCACGACAGGTTTTTCCTAATTTTTCATGAATAGCGGTAGGAGACCCAAATCTGTACTTCCAAAAGCCCTAACTCTGGCAATTGTTATCCGATCTTAAAGTGGCATACCTTTTAAAATTTGTAATAGAATTCCTGAACGAAATACGTTAAAATTTTTCAATATGGTGGGGATCGAATTTTTGAACTCCTAATCGTGTCAGATTTTATCAAATTTATCATGAATTCCAATAGAACCACTACTTTACCATTTTCAGCTATATTGTGAAAAAGTTTGTCTGTTTGCTTTAAAGATATTGTAGGCTTAACGGCAAACATTTTGTTGAGTGCATTTCTTTATGATCTGGAAATTGAATGCAAACCCTCTGATTGACGGGCCTACCGATATGCTGCTGACGTAACTCGGCTCACAAATTAAACGTCAAAATCGTAGGCAAAAAGGCTGATTACAAGCGTAGCTGATAGGAATAAAATGACAGAGGCGGCACTAAATTGGCAAACAAAGGGCGGAAAGGCCGAAAATGGCTGAGAAGGAGCGGCCACCGCCACCGCCGTCAATCAAATCACATATCATGCCAATTTTCTATGCAGGTTCCTCCCTACAACCCCTTTTTGGCAGAACGAAACTCTGGCAATTGCTCATATCCATGACGAGATGATTTGACAGTCGCAGGATGGGCGGTCCCCGAAAAGGGGGCGTGGCCAAGGGGTTAAGGCCAGACAAAAAAGAGGTTGGAATGTGGGCGGTGGGGGGTGTTGGGTACATAAAGTACGTGTACAAGGAACTCGACTGAAGAGACTTTGCCTGGCAACACAATGGGGCATCTCTCGCCGTCATCAACGTTGGCAACATCAATGGGCAGTCAAATGCAAAGCACATACGTAATCCAGTGGGGTTCGGGAAATTGTGGGTGGTGTTGGCATGGTGGGGTGGTGAAATGGGGGGCCAGGCGTCATCCACACGAGCTTTGCGCTATCACGAGCCGGTGAGGACGATAAGCGCTGTGGCAGTGACATGGCAAGTGCGCGAAGGGCGAGCGCAGTTAACAGCAATTGCTGTCGTCGCACTTTGTTGTTGCTTGATAAAACTGCTGCGTTGCATTAAATTAAACTCATGCGGTGTATTTAAACGCCGCATCGTCGAGGGTCTGGAGTCAACTAAGAGACGGGGCATTATAGCAACATAGCAACATCGGCAACACCAAGAACAACACCAAGAGCAACATCAACGGCGACGGCATCGTTTTAATGCAATTGCTGACAGCAGCAACAACAGCGCCAGTGAGTGACAGCAATTTCCTTTCCAATTTGCGCTTTGTTTTTATTAATCAGACATATAGCCAGAGCAACAAAAAACAATGGAAAAAAAGTAAAGAAAGCGAAATGAGGCGAGATGTACTTAAATGAGCTTGGGGGCAATAAAGTGCAAAACAATTTAGAGTGCAAAGAGTTGAGTGTTGAGAGCAAGGAAATATTAATATTCCGTCTGGTTAATCATTCAACTTCAAAAGGCTCTCATGCGAAAATTCTGTGAGAAATAATACTTTCCATATAAAACACTTTGTTATCCAACAAAAGTAATCTTTTCCCTTGCATTACTTTGACCAGTGAAGTGGAAAACAGACGTATATATTATAATTTTATAACTCATTACTATGTGATCTCATCAATGCCTTTTACAAAGCTTTATTGTTCTGCCCCCTAAAATCATTTCTAATCCAAATGGGAGCACTCTGAATCAAACTGGGTTATCGCAACCAGTTATCGATGCAATGCACCCGGCAATAAATCAAACTCCCTTTCAATCAAACTTGACAAATGCCTTTCCGCTACCTTTCTCCAGCTCAATTAGCTTTCGCTGGTCAACGAACTGCATTCTGTGGACTCACTCTCGCTACTTATAATATTTTTTGTTGTGCCGCACTTGAATTGGAGCCGTGAGACCCCCACTTCCACATTGTTTATTCCCCTTTTCCCCCGCAACGCTTGGCTCTGCATGATTGCGTCGAGGCCCTTGTAATTGTGTTGTTAACAAATGCAATGCGTAACCCGCTTGCAACTCAGCTCGATTCGTATCGAATCGAATCGAATCGAGTCGGCGATTGTGCAACAGCTTGAAATGACACGCTCGATGCATTTACCCTGCTGGCCCGCGTGACCTGGTGATTGCCACGCATCGGTGGCAATCGAGAATTCCGGTGGCCGGGACTCGATTGCGATTCCTATTGGCATTCCTATTCCGATTCCGCTGACAAAAGCCCCGACTTATTGATCGATTTGTTGCCACACTATTAGAGCGGTTTGCACTTGAGCTGCTTACAACTGTTGCCAGTGCGACTTTATCGACCCAATCGAGAGCGGGCAATCAATCGCGTTCGCGGTGCCATTCGATATGCAAATGATGGCCAAACTGTTGCCGCCATTGGTTGTTGCCAATTCGGTCGCATCAAATCGAATCGAATCCCATCGAATCGAATCGCATCGAGGGTGTCAAGGTTAGTTTGGCTTACACGTTTGGCTCATTTACATGACTCCATCCGACCGTCCAACAACCATTCGCTAAACTCCAGCAAATTGCTCGGGATGCACGGGGGTGTGGGTGGGTGTGTGGAAAATGGGAAATAGAAAAGCTAAACGCAGTTTTAGGTTAGTTGCCGTTGCCTTTCTGGATTTTCCTTTGCCGCGCTTGTCCGCTTTTGGCTCTTTGTCAATTTACCTTTGGCTGTGCAAACTTTCGCGCTGCTCCGGCTCCAAGTCCAAATCCCATCGGTCGTCTCGGGAAAATCCTCCTTCTTGCAGGTGCCACTGCTTTTCCTGCTGCTGCTGCTGCTGCTGGTGATTCAATGGCAGCGATTTCTCAGCAGATTTGCCCCAGGTCATTTCATTACCAAAGTCAACAAAAGTGTCCTGCTGCTCATGGTTCTCATGGTTCTGCTGCAGTTGCAGCTGTAGCTGTAGCTGCTGTAGTTGTAGCTGCTCGTTGCTGTTAATAAAATTTTCCAGATGGCTCGTCGAGCTCCAGTTTTTGTGCTCCGCCGGATTCCGGCTCCGGCTCCGGCTCCGGCTCATTGCCAATTCAAATGCACTCTGATGCCAGCCATTGTGCGATGTCCTGGGAATTACCGTTGCCGGAGAACAGGGACTCGAGCCGTTCTCGTTATTGTCCTGGCCATTGTATTGTCTCACTGCCGATTGATTCGCAGTCATTGGCAATTGATTTATGCCCGTGGCGTAATCATCGAAGCTATTCGAACTGGGCAGGCCCATCTGGTGCGGCCCAGCAATCCCAGCCATCCCATCATCATCATCGTTGTTCTGGCCAAATCTCTGGAGCGAGAAGCTGCTCTGGCTGCGACTCCTTTGACGGCGCGCCTCCTTCTTTTTGGCCAACTCACCGGGCGTGGGGGCAAAGAGATTCCGGATGCTGGCATTACGCTGCCTCAGATCCACTTCGCTGCCGCCCGACTTAACCTGCTTTGATGGGGAGGAGAGACGCGTAATTGTAAATGGAAAGCTCTTGCCCAATTTCGTATCTCATGCTCAAGCAGGGCAGCAATTTTTCTGGTTAGTAGAATCGAACAAAGGGGGGCGGGAACGCAGAACAATTGTTATCTTACGGATAGTGCCAAACCAACAATAATTTAAGCCATCAACGCAACTCAACTCAACTCAACTCAAGTAAAAACCAAACTCGGTTCGGTTTAGTTCGGTTTGAAGGGAGGGAGAAAATGCAGAGGACAATGCTCGGTCAACTCGGCGCCCTTTCATAATCGGATGAAAACATTTGTGGAGTGCTACTTACACTCGTCCTCGAGGCAAGTGACATTGAATGAGGCGGACTCGAGGAGGCCAACTAGGAGATCCTTCCTCCTTCCGAAGAGAAGGGTCATCAAGTGGATGTGGAGCGTTTGCTCTGCCGATTTTTCCTCGCTTTTCCTTACGGCGAGTTTCTCAAAGCTATTCGATGGTGGGGGTGTTCGGGTGTTCGGGGTCTGTGTGTGTTTTTGAAGTGCAGGAAAACCCACAAAGAGAGATAGAGAGAGCGAGAACGGAGAGCATGAAAATTTCAAAAACGTTAGACAGATTAGCATAAGCGGATAATTCCGGAAAAACACAGCAATGGCAAGGACAACAACAGAAGCGGAGAGGCAGAAAAACCGTTTCAAATCCAAAGAGAAACGGACAGCATGTGTGAAACGTTTAAGTGCTGATGTTCAGCGGGGGGGTTAAAGCCGGAAAATTGGGTGGGGAAACTAAGCCCAAAACGAAAGCTTTCTTCGGCATTTCTTCCAGCTGAGTGGCGACTCAAAAAAAGAAATGCACAAGGAAAATCCGGCAATAACTTGGAGCACAGATATTTCGTGTTTGCCAAATACCAACAGCAGTCACAGATGGAAATGCGTGGAAATCTTGCTTTCAAACGATTTGCAAATGTGTTGGCTGAACATTTTTCTATTTCCGCTTAGTTTAAAACAAACTAGGCGGATCATCAATGTCACTGAAAGTTGATCTTGGAAAAAGAGCAGGATTGTGTGCTAAATAAATAATGAATTTAAAGAGCAATTCAAAAGTTGGCTTTGGCCTTATGGGAAATGAAATTCCTTTGGCAATGAAAAGGAAAATATTTTTCGAGCTTCTTGTGTTTAAATTTTAGTTATTCTTTGAGTACACTTTGATTATTTTTCGAATGCAAATGCGTTTTTAATCAATTTTTATAGATTTTGACCTAGTGAACTCTGTGTGTTCAAATATAGCGCACCACAAGCAGGATCTTTAATGATGAATGCTGCCAAACATGCACTCTGGATTCTTTGCCACTCTGTCCATGGGGAAAATCCATGCCCTGGGAAAATCGTTTTCCCTCAGCTCGCTTTCCCGCATCTTGTCTCTTTTTACTCGCTCCTTGGCATTGACATTTTTCAGCTGCAAGACAGGAATACTTTCCATTTTTTTTCCCCTGCAGCTTGTGTGTGGTTTTTCAGCCAAAATAATCAAAAGTGGTTGGGGACTCAGGCACACACACACACACTCACTCACTCACTCACGAAAGGAGAAGATTCCTATCCGATGCAGCGTTACATCTGTTTTGTTTGTCCTGAGAAAGGACGAGAAAGGACGATGGGGGGAAGCCCACAAAAAATTGCATGTCAAGTGAAATTACTTGTTTGCCAAAGAGAAACGGGTTAGGAATAGGGAACGGAATGGAATGGATGCGAAGGATACGGCTTGGGATGACAACTGCAACTCACGTTTACTCACGCACTGGCACACACATCAACACACACACACACACACTAACGTAGACATGTGTGCGTGTGGGTAACAACAATACGTCCTGTGTGAGTCCTGGCTGAGACTTTGATATATACCCAGACGACACTTCGATCTGCCGGGATATGCGGCTAAGCACGATAAATTGAGATGAATGTCTGGCATGCAGCTAAGTCTCTACAGCTATCTGTCCATATATCTATCTATCTATCTATCTATCTATTCGTCTATATATCCATCCGGGCAGCTTAATGCAAGTCATCTTATGCTCTCCGCACTTGACACATTCCGGGGAAAGTGCATTTGCCTGTTGGCTGTCTATCTTTCTCTCACTTCTGGCCAAAAGATTTTTTCAAGTACCCTGTACCCGAAGATAACAAGAGTATTATCTTTTCTATTGTTTTAGTGTACTTTACTTTAATTATGTACAAAAGTCTATTCATATTTGTTTGATTTTGTGGCTAAATAATATATAAGATTTTCTGCGATTTCTAAGATACCTGATTACAGGGTATTTGCTTGCCTTAAATCTTTATCATTCTTGTATTAACGCACTGGCGTCTAGACGAATCATCCCGCAAGCGAGGGTGGCAGCTATAAATATTCGAAAATGTATTCCACTACATATGGGCCATAAAAATCCACTCCCGACGATTTTAACTTTTATTTCCATCCGCAATCCCGTCGAGAACGGCGCCTTCGACTCGCCGGGTTGGAGCTATTAAAATGCGACACGCATTGGGATTGGGCCTGCGATGGCAATGCATGGCATTGCATTGCATAATTTAAGGCGTGCGGGAGTGAGCCGGAAAGTTGGCATAAAATATTCATTTAAAATGCAGCACGCAACACTTTCGAATGACGCATTGCTAACCCAACCACCCACCCACTGCACTGCACCACCACCCAATGCACTGCACCACCCACGCATTTAATTGCGGGCGTTGCAAATGCAAATGTCAGGGGGACGTCGGCATTTGCATGCCGATGACAGAACTCCACTGGATGTCTGCTGGTCATCCAACGGTGAAAGCAAATCCTAATCCCACGCAGCGCTCGACTGGGAAACGAAGTGACAAACTGACAAAATGACTGACTGTCCGCATGACAGACTGACAGACTTGACACGTGCTCGTGTGTTTTGTTTCGGAGGCGTAACAACTCAAACTGGCAAAACAATAAACTAATAACAAGAACTTACCCAATTCAAGCGGCCCGCCGGAATCCTGGCACATTCATCAGCTGTAAAATAGGGTAAAAACATTTTGATTAGCATTCGGGATTGATAAACGAGCGTTTATTATAGAACGACATCAAATGGGAAAATGGCAAATGGAAATTGAATCGCTTTGCATAATCAATGCTGCGAGCAGTAAATGAAATGTTAACCGAAGACAACGTAGCTATCAGGCTCGAATTAGATTGAAAGACAACAGTGAGCAGCGGAGCGAATTTTAATTAAATGGCCTTTCCGCAGACGTGAAATCAAAGTCCTTGCGGATCATTAGCCTTCGCTCGGGACAAAGCTATTGATTGTATCATCTGCCGACATGACGTAGCTGCCAAAGCCCAAAGGCCCCAGATAATGCACAAAGGTTGTAGGCGAAACAAAAGCATGCTCAGATGGAAACGATACGATGACGTTGCAGCTGACGGCACAATAATAAGCCGTACATTAACACACATCGCGATTTAAGAGGAAAACCAAGTAAGGCACCGCATCCCTCGCAGACATCGACATCGACATCGACATCGATTGCAGTTCGATCCATTAAAATTATACGCAATTATCCAATTCACTCAACTGTTGCATCGTCGTTGTCATGATTGCCTTGGCTATCATCCCCGGCATTACTTGTGTTTTTCCTTTTACTACACTCAAGATGAACAATGCATTTATGTCTAGCTTCCATAAAGGAATTAAAAAATAATAATCATTTGTGATAAGCATAAAAAAAACAGAAAAAAATGGTTGAAAAATATACATTAAATGGAGGTATAATATAACTCATATTTAATTTGTATATGATATGTTAAATTTTCTTCTCCGGTTTCAAGAAAGAAAAAATTACTCTTTATAATGCAACTGATATTTGGTTTAAATGTATGATCTGATAATATTTTTCAGTGCATAAAACACAAAAGAAAATATTATGGCTTGGAGGGCTTGGCTATACAGCCAGCCATTTAGTTAGGCAGGCCGAAACTCACGTTTTCCAGAGATTATGAGGCCCAAGCCGCAGTCTCTCGAGTGCCGCACGTTTTGCAATGGGAAAACTCAGGCAACGCCAGTAGGAAAAACTAGAAAAACAAAAACCGAAAAAGGGAAATTTTCACGGTGCTCACGTAATTGAATTGCAGTCGGCTAAATTGGCATTTATTATAATAAAAGCAAATATGCAATTTCGCTTTTTACTGGCTGGAAAATAAATATAGCCAATCTAAGCAGCCGGGCCGAAAGAGACTACAAATGCCATGGGCAGAAATAAGTGGGACGAATAGGAAACTTATTAAATAATAGAGAAGTCCTTAAAAACCCACTGGTGCGCACAAAGAAAGCTCTCCAGTTCTCAAGTTCAGTTCTTTAATGCCATAAACTAAATTGCAACTCGGTTTAAGCACATTCTCGACTGACCCAAATTGCTGGTTTATTTATATTTATTCGTTCTATTCTGCTGGACTTGCCCGCAAATCAACCGCAAAGAAATTCAATTTAAATAAATTATTTTACAATATCAAACCGCAGTACAAAAAAAAAAATCAAACCGTCAGGTGAGCACCGAGATATTAATATGGTGAGTACAAAGCTGCGAGGCCATTGGAAATGAGCAAATTAATCGCATGAATATTTTAAAACTGCCGTAGAAATGTACGCCAAAACGCAACCAAAGCCGGATCTTTGTGAAAAATAATTAATTCACATATTAATATTAGTTTGCTATATTTATAAGTATCTCCGGCTATTGTTCAAATTTAATTTCATTATGGAGCAGTGACTCATTTAATAGGATTTGCATTGGCTTCGCCGTTTTGGTTTATATAATTAAATTCCCATTATGGCCGCACAAAGAAGATAAATCGCTTCATGATCATTCTAAGCGATAATATCGAAATTAAACTTAATCTGCTTTTCCTCTTTTTCCGCATTAGTCATCCCTCTGTCTATTTTCCAGCTGAATTTCTACCATTCAATTTGTAATTTTCTAATTATGTGGTTGAACATTTTGGTGTATTGAAAGCAATTACGCTAAATAATTGCACATTCCTGTTGCGTGTATTTGCGAGTGGCAGACAACGTCACCCAGAACTCTCCCATTTTCCGATTCCTGTTCCTTACCAAGTTAGTCTCTTATATGCTTTTTTGCATACCCTGTTTTCTTTTGAATGTATAAATGCAGAATAATATTTTCTGGGAAATACAAGATTACGTTTTGCTTTAAATAACAAATTTCCTTTGCAATGTATTTTCTTTATCGGCTTATAAATTCTTCCACATTCATGAGTAATCTAAGTTTTATTTAATTTAGTATGATGCATATTTTTATATAATTCTTTTCTTCTACAAAGCTCTTTTGCTCTTCAAAACTCTGGCAAGCATAAAATCTGATTTGAGCACTAATTTGTCCAATTCAACTTTAAGCTAAATTCACTTTTCAGAAAGTAGGCAACTTTTTTAAAAATCGCTTTTATAAACTTATTTAATTGCAATTTGGCAGATAAAAACATAAGAGAAATCGTGGGTACGAACATTTGCATTTTATCTTCAGTTGAATCGTGCTTTTGCACTTTTTGAAGCGTATTTTGCTGTGGCATAGTCACAAACTAAACTCTTTGGCTTGCCTAATGACAACGTCGCCGGTTTGGAGCTCAGCCCTGGGGAAACATCTAAGCCAGCAGGAAGAGACGTTTTGGGGAATATTGGGGGGTCTGTTGATGGGAAGCTCCAAATCAGTTTTTCACTGCGCCAAACAATTTCCGCATTTAATTACATTGATTATGCAGCCAAGGAGGGAATCTGGTCGTCAGTTGCCCGCCTCTCTGAATCCACTTATTCATTTTTTTTTCCTAGAAACTTTCGCTGCAACATTGAACTTGATTTTGCCACAAATTGCTGAGTTACTAGAGGGTGCTGGATGGGTGGATGAATGGTGCCGAAGCGTTTGCCCAACAAGCGTGTCATTGTTGTTGAATGCTTTTTGCGGTGACAACACTCAACACTTTCATGCTCTGTCAGTGCAGAAGGGAGCAAAAAAGGGGGACGTGGGCAACCATGTGGTTGTCAACACATTTCGGCTTGTTGCAAATCGTAATAATGCAGCGAACAATACGAACACAAAAACAAAAAAATTAAACAAAATCCATTAACTCATAATTTTCTGCTATGCTGAACACAATCCAGAACCCGCGCTCAGCCCGAAGTGTTCAGTTTGTTGTCGTTAAGCCAACATACTCGAACTCGCACAAACAAAAAACCCAATTGCGCGCAATTTTACGGCAGAGCGCATTTCGCCACCCACCCAACCGCCCAGCCACCACCCACTCACCCATCCAACCACCCAGCACCACCCATTCGCTGCTATGAAGAGGCACGTATCCGTGAAATATTGCGCAAACAACAACTGTTACAATAGTTACAGCACCAAACAGCTCATTGCACTAAGAAAAAATTAATCATTAATCATTTTAAAAAATACAAAGGGATTCCTAAAAGTGGAAAATCCATTTAGATTTATTTATATTTTTTAAGCGAACAACTGTTTTTAAATCCTGTTAACAGTTAAAATACAAGCCGAAAATTGGAGGAGGAAAATAATACTGTACTCCAAAGACGGAACTCGTTTGTAACCATAAAAATAAAAAAATAAAATTCACACGACGTCGTTGTCGTTGTCGTTGATTATGGGAAACACTCAAAACAAGTTTGATTGTTGTCGTTTGTTTATTTGTTTGTTGCCTGCCTTTGTTGTCATGGTTGTTGTCATTGTTGTGGCGGTAATTCACGTGTTGCATGTGACAGGCTTTGTTGCGGGGTATATCCAATATATGCTACACACACCAACGTTGTAATCAAAGTGGATCTATAAGCCAACGATATAAACGGTAGGGGCAATAAATCACTTACCAACTAAAGCTAACTTATTCTAGCCCCCGGGAAAAAAGGGGCTAAGCCCAAGTCCCATTTGCCATCATTAAAGCTGGAAATATATGCCCCTAATGGCTAATAGAAAATTCAATTATACGGACTGGAGTAGCTGACATTCCAGGAAAACACTTGATAGTAATCACACCACATAAGTGATTTAATCAATAAGCTACAAACTTTTAGCATAGTTTGTAATAAATAGGAAAAATAGAATTTCCGAAGAATACAAATTGCTATGCAGCTTAATGCTTTGTGAACATATACATATTTTTAGAACATAATGGGTATTTTCCGAGTTGAGTTGCCTTGATAAATGAGGAGCAACCGCTTATTTGCATAAAACCTCAACCTAATGTACACCTTGCGTTTTTTGTGTTTTTTTTCAAGGCGGCAGACACATTGAATTTGTTTGAATAACATTTTGTCTGCAGCTTTATGAACTGTAAATTGGTTGAATTATAAGCAATTATATTTAATGCCATTGGCAGCAACTCACACGATTCGCGCCGCCGTGGAACGCATTTTGCCAGACAATTTCATTAGCAGCAATTGCCGCTGGGTGTCTCTCTGTGTGTGTAAGTTTGTTTGAGTGTGTGTTTCAGTGTGTTTGTGTGTGCATAACCGCTTCATTTCCATTAGCAATACAATTTGATTAAGTTCCGAGTGCGACAGGGTCGCCGCAGAGCTCAAATTCAAGCCAGATTACAATAATTTCTTTATCAAGCCAAACAGCCAACGCACCGACACGCAACAATAATAACAATAACAGCACGAACCACCGAAGCCAGTAGCCAGAAGGCAGAAGGCAGAAGGTCGTTGCATGTCCAACAATGGGCCAAAGCCTTAATTTGGCAGGGAAATGAGAAGGGGAAAGCGGTAGGGGGCTAGGGGTCGGGGGTTCCCCCAGTTGGGTTCCTTGTGCATACGACGATGGAGCCGTGGACAATGACAACGAAACGGAAACTAGCGGAAATCATTAGAGTCTGCACAAATGACTTCAAGATACTTTTGCCCAGCCAGCCCCAAGCACTTTTTTCCTTGCCATTTGCACAGTGGGTCGAAAAAGCAGGAAGACCCAAATCAGAAGTGGGTAACTTTT